ATGTCATCCAGCGTGTTCATAAACCTCACTTGTGAGGTGTTGGAGCACTATATTCATATCCCCAGGTTGGGCGTGAAATTTCCGTTTATTCTCCAAACAGAAGTTTAGTAGGTTTACTAACCATCTAGTTGTGTTAGTCGCTTGATGAAATTCAGCTGTAGTCTGAAGCGCTGTGGATTTAGATCCACTTGTATCTTTCGCTCTAGGTAATTCGCTCGCGAAGTCCTTGACGATGTAGGTGCACAACCAGGTGTGTCTGTCCTCGTTGAACTTTATGTAAAATCGCCTGACTGCCGATCCCTCGCCTTAACTTGACAGGGGAGGTCTCTATCTTGAAGAAAGGCAGTCTAATCATGAATGTTCAGGTTAACTGGACTGTAATGAGGCTTGCTCGATTTCACTGATATATAGTTGTCACTTCAGACGTAAGTCTTGAACTGTGAATAGAGATCGACCTCTGTGTAGGTCGTTGTCCCTCATGGTCCAATCAGAACAAGGCATTTTGATTCTGTATAATACCCGCTGTGATGTCACCGGTGTAGCGGAAAAAACCCACCTTGAATAAATTCTTGTCGCCGTTGATATTAGCATAAACGCCGGTCTTCACCGTAGCTTCCCGGTTATCCGAAAGTGACCACGTGTTTCGAGGGTTAATGGTAACCGCCGCTGAAACCTCCGGCGCAAATATCTCGCTCTGTAATTTTATGCTGGGTAGGTTATTTTCCTGGTTGTCGTGAAAGTAATTTCAGTTTTGAATATAATTCGACTTCCTTATATATAAGGGTATAAACAACTTGCAAGTTGTGAGCTTGTAGACTGTATACATGAATGTATCGTCATAATTGTAGAATTAACGTTGAACTTGTTGTACATATTTCTTCTCAGAAACTTTGACGATTAAGAGTTATACTCGCTGTAACAAGGCTGCTGTTCAATTTCGATATTGAATTGTCTGCAGATATGCGTAATGGTCACGCATGTAGATAATCGTATCGTCGTCCGGGATTGTATATTAGCAATTTATCGCGAATAGTTGATTTCTGTGAAGATCTATGAAATGTCGCTGACTAATAATACAGCGACGTTCTGTGTTGTAAATAGCCTGAGCAATTATCTTCACAGTAGGCTTATAGGCGGCATCTGGCATACAGTTGATAATCAACTTATGCACGCCTTGAACGGACTGACGAGTAGCTATATATGACGAAAGTGGCTAGTATATGGAAACCTTGGAGGAGACTTCCTCGGTGAACGCCGAGACTCCGAAGTTCTCAAGTATCCCCTTCTAGATCTTCTGGGTGAAGTAGACTTGGAGCCACTTAGCCTTAGCCTCTAACCATCGCTGAAGGTGTCGAAGTCAAAGCCCGATTAGTATATATATATATATATATAAATATATATATGAGCTTGTTTCGCGGAACAGCCTCTGTGTTTAACAGGATGTGGGATCGGTGGCTTGCCTAAGCATGGCCGCATGGATCATCTTATCATATTCAGAAGTCGTGGTTACGAAGTCTGGTGATAAGTGTCTAATTGATCGCTCTAGATCTATTTAGGCCAGCTTTAACACACGCCTCGCCATGGATTCAACAGAACCAATATACGATTGTAGTTCTTATACTTGATATCGATGATCAACTTGTCTATGGGTTGATCTTCTCGGAGACTTGTGAGGGGAACGTTGATAGTTTCGCCAAGCTCTTGTATAGTCCCTCGATGTCCTTCTAGATGATGATGATCTGGATTCAGGTGTCTTCCAGCGATGCCTTCGCGAAGCTTCCTCTCTGCGTCCGGTCCGGGGAACGACGATATGACCTTCGAAGGCTTCCGTGATGTCTGATGGTCGAGTCCACATCTAGGGATGAAACCGCATAAGGTGATGATCTATCCTGCCTTCAGCGAAGTCCTTCGAAGGCTGTACATCTAGGTTCTTTCCGCCGAAGGCTGTACATCTAGGTCCTTTCCGCCGCCGAAGGCCTTCGGCGAAGAGCTGTACATCTAGGTCCTTCGTCAAGGTGGTCCGTGACTTCCTTCGCGAAGGTGACATCGTCCTGGCTGCTACGCTGGACGGGGGTGCCTCTGGGGTGCTGTCACGTTGGAGCCTTCGGTTGTTCGGACCCTGCTACCGCGAGATATTGGTCCTCCATGATGTTCATAATTTGTCGCATCATGTCTTCTGGGATGGTCTGCGGCGAAGGTCGCCGGTGCTTTATCTGGCGGTGTTAATGGAGGGTCCACCGGAAAATCGTCCGACATCAGTGTAGAGGCATCAGGCTGCATGGTGATCTCTGCTGATGTCGTTGTAGCTGTCCCCGGTCGCTTCTTGTGGCGTCGCCGGGGATGATGATCAGCTGATCATCGTAGAGGTCCAGGTCATCGGCTGGAACAATCTCGGTGAGAAAGTCCTAGTAGACTTCGTTGATTTTCCCTCAGAGGTCGGACGCTGCCCTGGGTGCGCGACGCCTGCGTTGAGTGTTGGTAATGATGGGACCCTCAGGACGATCATCGCGATATCTCGCGTTGGTACATCAGGCTGCATGCTGATCTGTGCCGACATCGGTCAATCTTTGATGTACATCCGTATGATGACCGGCTGATCATCATACAGGCCCAAACTTCGATGGGGAACGGTCTCGGTTGTTGAGATGTAGTAGAAAAACCCTCTAGTCTTCTGCTGCGGACGATGGGATGTCTGGGGAAGCAGAATGCTTCTTGAGATGGCGGACTACGCCCCACACCTCTCCACCACTCTAGCGGAACACCACACGGGGGAGTCGGCCAACAGCAGTAGACTGGCGAGGGGTTCCGTATCAGTCATACTAGACTCTGCATACGCGACCTATCTGCTGTAAAGTGCCAAACGCAAAGTAAATATTAATAAAGAGGTAGAATTGGATAAATTAGTACCGCAACTGCAATGTGAATATAATAAACATGGCGACATCATATTAAAGGTGGATCAGCAGCAGCATAAAAACGTAATCTGCAATAGTACAGAATTTTCATCAACGTAATCCACTGAAACAAACACAGCGTCCGTGAATAAACTGTAGAAAAACGACTAAATATCAATATATAATCGTTGAAGGATACTAGCTAAACCTCTATAGATGTCTATACGAGGTAACTAACTAAATATAATCAAAGGATATAGTGTGTCGGGAGACACAGGCGCTCTCACGTCCAGCTCACTGGGCGAAGAAGGAGAGAGTGAGGCACATGGGTAGAGGTGGCGCCCTCGTTCCCGAGCTTGTGGAAAGGAGGTAACTCGTGGTGAATACTAATTAGTGATTTTAAATTGAAGGGAGCTTCAATTAGGGAGATACAAGTGTTCCACTATGTTCGCAAGAAGAAGAAGACAAGCAAAAAGAGCATGAGTCAGGATAAGGAAAAATACATAAAATCTGCGTGCCTGAAAGAATGCGCGTTAGGCGCAGAAACCCAGGCAAAAAAAACAACAAAACAAACACAACCTCGGCCACTATGAGCCATGTTGTGTATAAACGTATGAAATGTGTATGTGTAACATAACACAACATAACGTAACAGGAATATTGATGCAAGGGCACTTATTATGAACATCCTTAATCGTCGTGAGGGTCCTCGGGTAAACACCAGAGGCACACCTTATGACCATCCTGTCGCGGTAGTGTGCACGGCACAACGCACAGGGCTTAAACTGCAGCAAACAGAACCGCGCCAGTGTTACTAACAGGAACTGTGAAGCAGCAAACATATAAACACAAGTAAATAGCAATAAATAACACGCATGGGCGATATTTAAATGCTACAAGCTGCAGCCATTTAAATACTAAACATACAATGCAAATCAGAAAAAAGGCTAGCCGCACCTGCGTGTACATACTAGTGAGTAAAGTGGAGTGATATGAAATGAATACTACCAAAATTACTCAACAACGACTTACCACAAATTTGCTGAAAAGAGAGAGAATTTAGGCAAGCCTACCATATAATATGCAAACATAATATATGAACTCCCTACTACAAGCTACCAAGAACATGTAGCAAGGAAACCACGATCGCACGGTCCATCCTATGAAGTCCATCTAATGCCCGTGCGTAAAGAAAGGAACCATACATACAGATTGAGACTCTTTTACACTCATCGTATCGGTAGGAGAGCAAACTCAAAACGAACACCACGCACGTCTATTCAACAGAACGACATCATGAAATGTGAGGTACGAGGTCGACGGCGAGAGTTACCTGCTCTTGGCTGTAGGGGGTCCGGTGGGGCGCTGTAGGGGTGGTCTCACAAGACAAAACGAGTTGGGTTTTTTGTAAATATTTTATTAAAAAATATAGTTACAACTGTCGTAGGATTTAAAATGGACATTTTAATGCTTATATGTACCCCAAGGAGGACTTCTTCTGAAAAAAACTGTAAATAGCAAAAGGCACCACTTTAGGTTCTGTTTGATATATCTACCAATTTTTGTTAAAAAAAATTTGTACGGTTTAAGAGTTATGCTCTGGAAACAAAATGATTAAGGACGGACGGACAGACGGACAAGACGTCTATATCCCCCTGCATTACATGCTGGGGGAATAACAATACTCCCTCACTGAATGAAATCATTGAATTATATCCTGATCAAGCAGAAACTGATCTACACTTGTAATAAATGTTTCAGTGAAGGGAGTGGGGTGGAAAATAATTCACTTACAACTTTTCTAAGCAAGCCAAAATTATGTTGGAGGTGACAAATAGCACAGATGTTCCTGCTTGGAGCAATCCACAAGCACAGGAATAATGACAGACCAAGAATCAGGTAGATAATACTCTTCACAAAGGAGTGTGCACAGTGTGTGAGTGAGGTTGTATTCTGCTTTTAAATATATTTCAACAATACCAAAGTAGGGACAACAGATATGGACTTCACACAATTTACTATGAGGATAATCAAACTGGGGTCTTCCCAGTGATGGCCAACTCCTTTAACCATTGGTGATGACAACACAAGAAGTCAGCCACCTACCCACCATCCCCCCAAAGCCTGTTTTGGTAGCTTCAGCTTCGATGCTGGTGATATAAGGCAGCAGGGTTCTCTTCGCAAACACAATGGTCATCACACCACGCATCCTACGAACTTTCAACTGAAAATTTTAGAAGATTATCATGCATAATCAGATTTTATACAATGCTACAACAAATCTCCAAGATTAAAACATAATACAGACAATATGTGTTTTGTTAGTGAGGACGGAGTGGTTGTTCCTTTGACACAGTTTAATCGGCTCCGCAAAACATACATGCGACATCATGACATAATGGCAAGTACACAACCGGTGACGTCAAACTCATTTACAAAAAAAATCACTGCTTCTGTATACATGTATCATTTCTATCCTGGTCAAACACATGTAATATTTGTGAGTGTAAGGTTAAACAATAAACCAACCTACCCTGACATATCCTCTACTTCCGAGACAGGCGGTGAGTGCTTTGCTCCATGGGTGTTCCTCCAAACTAAGGTCTTGCACGTCAATCTCCTGCAGACTGCCCCACACAAGAGAACAACATACATGAGGAGACAAACAGTATATAGGTTGTGTTACATTGTCCTACTTACATGTCTTTGGAAAATGTTGCAACCAAAATGATAATAACAAGAAGACAAAGTCATCAATATCCCCTGCAATGGCAAAATACTCTTCATGAATACCTGTATGTCTACTAGTTATGATTATGTCAAATGTTTTCGCGTGAACATAACAAGTGGAAGGAGAGAGTTGATAGGTTTTAAAGTTCTGCTCCAGAAAAGAGCACCAATACCAAATTCAGTCATAGTCAAACTTGTTGCCACGGAAATGCAAAAATATTTTATTCAGAAATCCAAAACTACCAAAAGGCACCAGTTCACTACCAGACCTATCTATGTGCCAAGTTTGGAGAAAAATTAATAAACGGTTTAACCGTTTTACTGTTCTGATCCGGAAAAGAGCACCAACACAAATTTCAATAGAAGTCAAACTTATTGCCATGGAAATGCAAAATACATTGTATTCAGAAATCCAAAACTACCAAAAGGCACCAGTTCACCACCAGACCTATCTTTGTGCAAAGTTTTGTGAACAAATACTGAAGGGTTTTTGAAGTTGAGCTCCGGAAAAGACGAATGTGCACAGAAGGACGGACCATCTGCCGACAGGGTTTTACATGGCGCGTGATTCCTGCGTATTTGACGCAACAATTTTGTAAACAACTTTCAAAATATTATCATGCGAGTCAAGTTTGACGCAAGTTTTATGGGTGGCCCTCACAATTCAGTTCAATAAAATCGATTTGATAAGCAAAATGTGATATTGTTCGATGATAGTTTGACTTTTACAGAGCTGTCAGATTGTTCCAGAGAACTCAGAGGAGACAGTAATCCTGGCTGTGTGAATTGAACAATGCTGTAGTTTCATTTGGTGGTGGGGCGGTGGGGTAGCCTAATGGTTAAAGCGTTGGCTCGTCACACCGAAGACCCGGGGGTTTGAATCCCCACATGGGCACAATGTGTGAAGCCCATTTCTGGTGTCCCCCGCCGTGATGTTGCTGGAATATTGCTAAAAGCGGCGTAAAACCAAACTCAGTCAGTCAGTCAGTCATTTGGTGGTGTGACATAGACAGTTACATACTGAGAATGATTACCACAAAGAAATAATAAAAGTTTCATATTTAAATTACTCCCAAAAATAAATATTGTGAGTCACCATGACTCCCATTTTCAAAAGTCTGTGTAAAACCCTGTGCCGAGGATAATTAATACCATGAACATGATTCCAGATCATTTGTGTTAACATCAACTACATGAACTTTCCAATATTATATCAGTGAATGAAGTTTGTTACTTTGTCAACACTGTTATCCATACTCACTGTACAGTTATCTGATAGGTCAGGTACTTTGAGAGTCCAGGCAATATGGCTGACAGACCTACACATGATGAAGGATGTGATATGTTTAACTTACAGCCGGATGACTCAAGATACCCTGTGATAACAAGCTACTAGTTTATTGCCTTCCATGTTAGGCAGACATTGCGACTCTACGACCCTAGGGCACTATCCTGCTAATGAGTACACATTTTAGGAAAACTTCTCCTTCAAGATATTCACATGATTCAGCAGCATTGTTTAACATAACATCAACATCAATGAAACATCAACTGAAATTGACCTATAGCTGGAAGGCAGAATGGCCATAATGGCCTTGATCATGTTGACAAGACTGTAGAAATAAATTGTAAATTCCATGGCCATGGACTACTGTATTAATATTGTCTGATGAGATGGAAGGATTCATGTTGACTGAAACTTGAAAGTTTATAACCTTGAAACATGTCAACACTATTCTACTATTGAACATAAGCGTTTAACTTACCCAATACAATACAGGTCTGGGTGCTTGGAATTCTGAAGGTCAAGGACATCTGTAAAGTCCAAATCAGGCTTGGATCCTCCAACATTCCAGGTACACAGGTAAAGTCTAAATGAAATATGTTGCCTTGGATACAAGAACAATTCTAAATGTTGAAATACACTAAACTACAACACCATCTGATCATCAATGGGAAATAATCAGGCATTGTCTTGATCATACACATGAATGATGTCATGATGCTACTAGCTTCCTGGGATTATATTGTTTATGTACTCTTGCCATAAAACTTTACCATTCTATGGCAAAAGCATTTGAAGGTTGTCTCAATTTTAAAAAGAAACAAGCATTAAGATGAAGTTAAATGTCAACAAAAACATTATCTTGTTCTTTAGTTGTTCAAACACTCATATTTTCAAGACTGACTTTGACCTTGACATGCATGTCATAGTGTATGAAAAATGCAAAACTAGTACTAAAGAAATTGCTTATTGAAAAACATTCAAGGGAGGTCTTGAAAGTCTATGAAGAAAATCCAGTGAACCGTTCTTAAAATATCTTGCTGACAATTCAGGTTAACATTCTGAAATCTTCATAGTGTCGTCGTGACCCTAAAAATTATGTGAAGGTCACCAAAATTGACTGGGCCCTGGGCCTTCCCTAGATGAAGCTTGGTGTCAAATATGAAGAAAATCCACTGAATATTTTTTTGCGATATCTCGCTGACTATCTTTAAGGTCACATGCAACGTAAAACACAACTTTGCAGATTCTGATACCTTTCGGTATGGACATACCAAAACAAATCATCAAAAATGCAAATTGAACTTATAAAATTGAAAAATAACGCGATGAAAGAAAACGTGCGAAATTGTAGTTCAAACGATTCACTAACTTGAAGTGGTTTCAACAGTTGGGCTGCGCTCATAGCACATGCGCAGTGAAATAGGTTCGCGCAGCTTGGAAGCGGGTTGTCCGCTGAATATTCGGTGAAGGCTTTGGTGTGAGCTATTTTTCTAATGTTTTGTTGATATTTCACAGGCGCGAGCTTTTTATATGTTATAACAGTAGATTACCGATTTAACTGTTTATATAATTTCATTTGTCTATTTCACCACATGTTCTTCTTAACGAGTCACTTTCTCAGTTCGATACTTAAAAGCAATGTCATTATTTAGCGTCGACAGGATTTCTAACTGTGATATAGATATGTCGTTGTCACAGACAAAACTCAATGTCTGTATTATTGGCACCTATGTGTCTGCCTGCCCGTCTGCTAATGACAATATTCAATACACAATTTCAATCACTGACCACATGCAATTTGAACTTAACACCTATCAGGCTATACACCATAAACAAAACGCATTGATTTATGGCCCGAGTTCGGTCTCCGTCACATTATGTAATTACACAGACAGGCAGGTGTGATACTTGTACACATGACATGTTTTGATGTCTGTTGATTGCAAAATGTTATACAAGAAAAATGAGCATGTATTTACAAAACCCAACATCTCTATATATACACACACAATGAGCCGTGAGGGCGGCATCTGCAAATGAACCAGCCGTTACACTTGAGTGCACACCCGACCGCTGTGACTGGGTTCGGTATCCCGACTGCTTCGTTTCTTGGGAAGTAAGCCCAAGTACAAAATATTGCACTTTTGATTTGCGATTGTACGCTTATAATTTTGTTTTTATGTTTTTTCATAACCAGCAATGTATATTATATGTCATGAATAAGTGATAATTGTGTTTTAATTATGTTTGATTTTTGGGTTGCATGTGACCTTAAACAATGGTTATCTTAACTAATTTAAACATTTCAATGACAGTGATTGTAAATGTAGTATTATTATTCAGAAATATGTATCAATATATCATAGATATAAAACAATACTGATACACTCAAGTCAATTAAAGATAAACTCATATCAATTAAACATATATATGACATCACTATTTTAACTGCTTGCACTGGTATACATCGATTTGTTTTGGCTTTAGTTTGGTTTGTGTTGTACACCACACTTAGCAGTATGGTGTCTATCTGTAAATAATTGAGTCTGGACCACACAGTCCAGTGATCAACATCATGAGCATTAATCTACACAGTGTGCGAAATAGTTTCCAAATTTTGCTAGCCGCTCGGGCTAGCTATGCCTGAAAGTTACTAGCCCACAAAATAATTCACTGGCCTGACATTTGAATGTAGAAACTAAGCAAAAGATTGCAAAAAGGTAAAATACCATCAGGATTGGGAAAAGCAGGGGCCATGGGCTATTTTGCACATTAGAATAAAAAATTGCCCCTTAAAATTTTAAAGTTTACCATTGATACAAGGGTTTTGGCCCATTCTAAATGCAGAAAATGGTTAATAATCCTGAAAATGGCCCATTTTCAGAGTTCTCTATCCCAATCCCTGTACCATAAAAAATACATGACCCCATGAACATAATGAAAATTCACTATCCAGTTGGGCCAGTGACTGTGGAGATTTACTGGCCCGACTGGAGTTTTACTAGCCACGGGCTAATGGGCCAGTGGCTATTTCGCACACTGAATCTACGATTCGAAGACATGTGTTAACCATGTCAGTGAACCTGACCATTTGATCCCGTTATTTGCCTCATGATGACAAGCATGGGTTACTGAAGACCAATTCTAACCCAGATCTTCATCATGTTCCAACTGTGTCAATTTGTGTTGGCAGACAAACAGAGTGCTGCATGAATGCCAGCTTGATGACTAAAATTGGGAGTACTGCACTTTACTGGGCGCACATTTTCAGATTAATTAGTGCTGCTGGGGTTCCCTAACCCTAACCCTAAGGATCGTAAAGGGTGCCTAACCCTAACCCTAAGGATCGTAAAGGGTGGCATACCCTTACCCTAACCCTAAGGATCGTAAAGGGTGGCATACCCTTACCCTAACCCTAAGGATCGTAAAGGGTGGCATACCCTTACCCTAACCCTAAGGATCGTAAAGGGTGGCATACCCTTACCCTAACCCTAAGGATCGTAAAGGGTGGCATACCCTTACCCTAAACCTAAGGATCGTAAAGGGAGCAGAGAGGGCTGCGCCCGGTAAAGTGCATTCTAGCCCTAAAATTGATTCATAAATGTAAATGTGTCCAGGGTGTAATTATTTGAACTTTCCGGTAAACATGTCAACAAATTTAATCTCTAACTTTTCAGTTAGCTCGGTGTCAATGTTCATTCCTTCACAATATCGGGTTTTCAAACGCTTCAAGAAACAATCGTTGTTTACTCGCTGATCAAAAAAACAAAAACAACTTAAAACACCTCACTAACTTATAAAGGGCATGTCATCTAAGCAAAAACAAGCCTTCAGAGGATTTACAATGTCTTTGGAGCACAACAGACCTCGTTATTGCGCGAGGAACACAGCAAAACATAAAATGCAACGATAAAGATTACCATCTATTACTTTCATGTACGCTGGTGGCAAGTACTCACACTTTCTGAAAAACACCTAGCGATATACATAGATATGATATACCTACCTCATTTGCTTACAGGGTAATTTCTTGGCCATACTGATGTTATTTCCGCACTCCCCTCAACCATGAAACTGGAATATCCAGATAACGACGGTATAAATGAAGTTCAAACTAATTATAATGGCAAGTAGGGTGTTCTGTACTCAGTGCATTTTAGCGACTGGCATTCTCGCTATATGCTCTATTATATCTTGTTGGCTACAATTATGATGTGGGGACGTTTGCAAGAGAAGTTTGAGCAAACTGTATTTTGAAAGAAGATCCTTGGAAGTACCCATGTGTTCTACGTCATCAGAATGTGTATACTATATGGTTAAATTCCGGACGATATTTACATGCAATATCATAACAGATGTGCCTGGTAAAACGTATCCGGTTCTTCATAATACAACTAGTTTACTCATGACTTATTCGATACTATTAATTATCCTAGTAAATACATTCCTTGAAATAAGTCATCTTTATCAAAATATTTTTACGTCTCTATTTACATAGAAATTCTATGTTGATATGAATCTATGTACTAATAATAAATGTCTTCATAATCAACAGTTGCCCAAATACACTAATAATCATATAATTTGCTGGAAAATACTTTTCTTTCTTCAATGAGAAGACAACTCTTGTGTTTATATACAGACGCGCGAAGTTAAATCAGTGGTGTGGAAGCAGGCAGTTGACGGCCGTACTTCGTCTCACGCTTATACTGTCAGAAATAACTGTTTTGGTTAGTTACAGAACAACTGAATCTTAGTGAGATGTATGTGACCAGCTACATATTGGGAAATGCAGCCATTAATCGATATGATTCTTTATCTCGATACCATTCCTGATTTCTTCGTATATCGATATATTTTTTAACTGTGCATCTAAGTTAAGTTTGCATCTAGGTACATTTTGTCCTTTTGTGGTACGAAATCAGTTTGTCGAATGTGTTTTTTAAATGCAAGAGTTTTGTGTAGTTTGAAGATTCAGTTATTCGGATATGGGAGTGAAAATGAAAGCCTGAGTTTGAATGCCTATCATTACTGTGCTAAAAGAACAACTCTTTGCACTTTTAGATTTTGATTTTGAATCAGTGGGGAGGGGAAGGGAGTTTCCAAGCACTATAATATCTGTTCTTGTAGTGCAGTCACTGAGGTCAAGACATGGCATCTTCCCCACGATCTCTGAAACGCAGAGAAATGTACAAGATTAGAACGCCACCATGGAAGGAGGCGTATAGAAAGGTACGGAAGTTTAGTTTCTTTACCATGTCTACCCATCAAACTATAGTTGACACGTGTCATCATATCCCAGTTGTGTAGATTGATGCACTTGCTGTTGATCACTGGATTGTCTGGTCCAGACTTGAGTATTTACTGTCCACCAACATGTAGCTGGACTATTGCTGAGTGCTGTGTTATACAACAAGCAAACAAACTATAGTGTAAAGAAAGGAGATTATAGAAAGGTACAGTGCCATTACTTGTTCACATGTCAAACTGTTGGTAACAGATTGTCATATTAATACTGCTGCATGGTTTGGGTTTATGAAAGCCTTACAGATGATTATGGGTTCAAACCCAGGTATATGTTGATTATGTTTCTCGGTCTGTCAGCACCACACACCTGCCTGTGGGTTTCACCAAAAGTGGAAAATGTCTGAGACCTGCATCATTTTGAGCTTTAGAAGACAAACCATGATGCATCTGGAAGAGTACTCAAAGCTACATTAAAGTCCAACTCTTGATGTATTAAGTCCCTGTTGTATTCAATATCAACAAACATTGACTTGTGGTGGTTTTGCTAGGTTCCATCCAATATAATTTGCTATTTTTTAGAAAAAGTATTTGGTTCTGGCTGCTGTTAGATGATGAATCCCTTGTTGAAATTATGTTGGTATTGCCATGATTGCACATGTCAGAAATAAACCTAAAATGAGAATCAGTCCTTTGAAACTTTACAGTAGATTACACATGTAACACCATGTGTTGATTATGCCAGACAGGTAAATGCAGCGTGTTGTTTTAAGTACTTATAGAGGTTTTGGGAGACGACTGTTTCTAACTGGTATTGTGTATTCAACACCTGTGAGGTTTGTCATTTGATTTTGGATAAGTCCAGGTGGATTGATAGACCAGGAACATCTGACATTGACATGCCTCTGTGATACATTCAACTGATAGTGAGGGTCATAGGTCAAGGGATCTGGACGCTACATTGTCCAGAAATTTATTAATTCAACTGGTGACCAAATATGTTTCCTACTTAAGTATACTTTTTCCCTATTATAGCGATGTCTGGATCGGTTACGAGGAAGTCGAGAGAAATTGTTTTCCCGTTTCCGCAACATACAACCTGACAGTGAGGGAAAGAACAAGAAAGATGAGTTTATCAAGGACCTGATGACAGATGAGTGGAAATCTCTACAGAGAGACAAGGCATCAGGCAACAGTGCAGATTTAATGGACTTTGATGTACCTATGCTCTTTTCTACTTGGTTTAATACTATTTAAGCTTTTGTCATTCATCATAGTCATGTGGCCTTAAGCATTTTACCTTTTCTGCATCACTTTTACAGCTGAAACTTTTTTTTTCTTTTGCACCTTGCAATGTTTTTTCTCTTGAAAGGCACACAGAGTGAGGGGCAGAAATGACATATTGGCATAGTATTTGGGTGGTTATTGAATCAGAGATAACATAGCAGAATAGGCTGGTTAACATCATTAGGACTGTGATATTGGTTTTCTCTTGAACTGATATTTAGGAGTTTGCTTTGTCATTTACTGTATTATTTCTTAGAAGGGAATAATTATACCCCAAGATATTCTGCTAAGGAGGAATATTATTCCCATAAGATAAGGAATGGAAACCCAACTTTATCCAATTCTTTGGTTCAGTTCGGTTAAACAATGAAGTGTAAAGAGGATGAGAACCCTTTTCATACTAGCACCAGGGAAGAAGAATATCTCAAACTATCCTTCAGTGTATGGTCACAATTTCTAGATGTTAACATGAATGCCAAAGTGAAACATTAGGTTTGTCTAAACAGAATAATCTTCAGCAAACAAATCATTTTGTGAATGATTTTAATGAAACTTAAATGCATTGTCATTTTGTTCCCTTCACAGATGGCTTCTTTTGATGTGAGTGAGGTAGATGAGATGCTGAATTTGTTTGAAGACATTCAGGATGATCTGATTAAAGAAGGTATGTGCATCACATGGACGTTATGTCCTTTTATGTACCTTTGTCAGATATAAGCCATAGAGAGGTGTCATTTGGACAATAGGGATCTGATTTTGTTGTTATATTAGCTGAAATTCATGAACATGTATGATATTACATCATAATAAATTAGCATTTTGATTTGAGATATATAGCAGACAATTGATTGGTTCCATTTCAGAAAGTAAACTGCTATCTGAGTACGAACGTTATGAACTTAGTCTGCAGAGGGAGGAGGAGGTTCTGTGTTCTGCCATTGAGACCCTGTCTACAGAGGATGTTCTCTGCCCAGTGTGTCAGAAGTAGGTGCTAAACAAAACACAACAGAACAAATAGTATCCCATAGTGTCAACAAAACTGCTATTTATTGTCAAACATGTCAGTAGCCTTTTATAAAATCTGTTATTCTAACTTTCATTTTGTAGCTCTGAATCTGTTTTCATTCAAATACAGTCAGACCTCGTTTATCCGAACACTTTGGTTTTTTATTGAATTGTTCGGACAAACGAATCATTCGGATATCTGAATCAGGACCTAGGCGGTCGGCTATATGTGAAAACAAAACAACTAACAATAACATTGAAACATAACTACATCTTTACTTAACATAACATCTTGCATAACATAACAAAAATTACATCGGCTTGAAAAAGTCTTTGGTTGATGATTGTTGACGGACAGAGTTGTTATTCGCTGCTTGGATTTTTAACAACAGCTCCAGGTTTGTGAGGTCGCCAACATTTTCAAATCCATTGCATCCATTGGCTGAATGTGTGCGGTTGTGTTGGGTGGCAGGAAATGGACAGTCACGCTGGTCAGTTTCAGATTTTTACAGTTGTGACAAGCCGCATTGTCAACAAGCAAAATGACCCGCCTTACACGTGACCGCATCTGTCAATCAAAAGACAGCAGCCAATCACGAAACAGCTCTGCTGTCATCCACGCCTTTGTCTTGTTTCTATATCTAGCATACACCTCCGTCTTTATTTATGCTTACTCAATCAACGATTCGAATCAGTGTCAACTCAATGTCAAACTTTAATTGTTTCTTCTCTAATTAACCTACGAGCCCTGTGATAAATATTCAATAAACAATGAATTAACTAGCAGCCAGCACAATGTTTTGACAAGCGGTAGACATGATAGCACTGTTGAGGAGCGGTAAACATCAGACATCTTGCCGACGACAGCCTTGATGTTCGGATATACGAGGCAAATTTGTACATATTTTGCTGTTTTGTTACCAAAATTGACTGTTCGGATACGGAAACCAAACATTCGGATATACGAGGTAAATTGTAACTAGAAAATTTCGTTTTTTGTGAAGAATGTTTCGGGAACCGAGGTATTCGGATATCTGAAGTTCGGGTATACGAGGTCTGAGTGTATGGAGTAGTTGCTAGAGCTATGTAATGGATCACATTGTCAGGATTCTATGTGTAGTGTTTGTTTTCAGACATGTATTGATGCTGAACAAGGGTATTGTGTTCTGCAGCTGTGGATTGAGAATTGATACTGAGGTGAGACACGGAACACCACAAATGTGTTAAGACAGTGCCTGGATATTGACAACACGTACACACGTCCCAGTGGGAGTCACCATTGACCCACGGCAACCTATGCGTAACTTACTGATCATTTTGGTTCATACTGTGAGCCTCAATACAAGTATCTATGCTGCAAAAAGTATTGTATTCTATCTGTACCACATGTGGCATGGATGGCCAAATCTGAGGAGCCACAACTTGCTGTGCAGAGTTGTGTCCCTTACTTATCATTTGGTTAAGGCAGACACTTTGCCCCATGTATGTTTCTCAGTACCAGACACACGCTTATGGGTTCCAACACACTGGGACACAACCTCCTTAATTTGGGCTTTCCTCTCACTCACTCATGGAATAGTTTCAGGCGCAATGTTTTGCTGAAGAACTCTAAAAGAGAAAAGGAAGCCCATCGGCAACTCAGCAAAATATCAGTTACTCACAATATGAGTGTCATATCTGAGCCACAGTATGAGTATTGTTTCTGAGTTGCATTTTTAAACAAAGGTTGTTTTAGACAACTATTTGCTGAGTTGTTTCATGTGCTAATATGGTGTTATCATGACACTTCAGGGGTGGTGGGATAGCTGATCACGCCAAAGACCCATGTTTCGATTATCACCATGGGTACAGTGTCTGAAGTCCATTTCTGGTGTCCCCTGCCATGATATTGCTGGAATATTACTAAAACTAAACTCACTCACTCACTCCTCACACTTGATGATTGCTTTCAGCAAGATTGTCTGAGCCTAAGCAACATCAGCCAGCAGCTGACTGAAGGAATGTCAGAACATACAGCCAAGTGTCCTGACAACCCCAGCTTCCAGGTTATGTCTGGTCTTGGTGCAACTAACCTCCTCATGACATGTCAGGTACAGTCATCATCTTACATCGTCTAGAGTCATGTCATGTACTGCCTGTATCATACATCATCTAACCTCCTCATGACATGTCAGGTACAGTCATCATCTTACATCATCTAGACTCATGTCATGTACTGCCTGTATCATACATCATCTAACCTCCTCATGACATGTCAGGTACAGTCATCATCTTACATCATCTAGACTCATGTCATGTACTGTCTGTATTATACATCATCTAACCTCCTCATGACATGTCACATACAGTCATCATCTTACATCATCTAGACTCATGACATGTACTGCCTGTATTTTACATCATCTGACCTCATGAACAGCTATAATCATTATTATACCAAAGTCTGCTACATTGTGCTAGTTCTCTGAAATTCATTGCAACTTTCTCTTCAGGCATTGAGTATATGTAATTAGAAAGTAGCTGTCTGATTGAGATAAAAAATGTGATTTATCTAACAGGAAACAGTCTGTTATTTCCTGCTTTCTTTTATCGACACTGACTCTTGTTTACAAAACAGTGTAGCATGTCGAGGTTAGCAGTATGGTTGTGTATATTACTTCCTGGTGTTACTTCAGCCACCAGCTGACTTCACAAACAGTTGCCGCTGTGATCTACAGTAGAGTTTCGGAGCATTACACTCAGTGGTACCTGTAGACAGGGTTCATGTTATAGTGTGATCTACAGTAGAGTTTTGGAGCATGACACTCAGTGGTACCTTTAGACAGGGTTCATGTTATGTTGTGAGCTGTGGTGGCTGAGCAGGTTAGGCATCTGACTTTGTGTGCTGGCGATTAGGTGCCTGACTCTGAGGGTGTGGGTTCGAATCCTGGATGGGACTCAACCCAACAGAAGTACTAAAGTCTGTACTTTACTAAGAAAGTGTAATCCCAAATATAACATATGCATGGTCAAGAATAGTTGGGACAATGGGTCATCGCAATGCAAGACCAACTCTCCTCCATCTTGCCTCCTGACATGCAGCAATTCACAGTGCAGGGTAGCAGCCCTAACATGATCCGCTGATGGGTTTGAATCCCAGGATCAACCTGATTATAATTTGTGATTTGTCACCACTGTACAAAGTTTGTGGGTTTCACGAAAGTGGTTAATACCTCGGACATGTTTTTTGGGGGGTTTTAACAGACTGGGCTCACTTGCACAAAACGATTGTATCTCTACAATAGTCGTAACTCTGATTGTAAGGTAATTGTAGGGTCACCCGCCTCTTGCAAAAGCGATTGTAAGCCTACAATAGTTGTAAGTTACAATTGAAACCTACAATAGCCCACTGCCTATTGTAAGTGCCTACATTCGTTGGTAAAAATGGCATCGTACATGGCTGCCGAGGAAGTCTCAGAAAAAATTAAATGTATTTTTAGAGATAGAACATCACATTTGGAGTTATTGACAGAAGGTTAACTCATTTCAAGGTATAGGTTGCCTCGGCATGCCATATTCTCACTTTTGGAGAAAGTTCTGCCACACATCGAACATGGAACCAAGCGTTCACATGCCATTACCCCTGAAACTCAGTTGCTGGTCTACACTTCGTTACCTGAGTAAAGGAGGTTTTTTAGGTGATCTACATGGCGTTCACGAGTCCTCTGTGTCCCGCTCCGTCCATCGGACAATCCGTGTCATAAACAACGTTTTGGACATCAAGTTCAATCCTGACGCAAATAAAGTTAGAATGCAAGACTTCTACAAAATAGCTGAATTCCCCCGCGTTATTGGGGCAATTGATGGTACACTTATTCCCATTAAACGACCACCTGCAGACGAAAAAGTGGCCAACGTTTGTCAGAAAGGCTTCCAATTTAAACACATAATTTAGATAGATAAATAAATAACACACATACACACGTGTAAAATCACATCAGATAATTATCAAATATTGATAACAAAACACATTGGAGCTGGTGATTTTGCAATAATTTCAAAGAGATATCAATAGTTTTTATTTTCAAGCAGTTGTTCAAACTAGTGGTCCCTTAAGTAAAAATAAAGTCTACTGAAATGAAAATAATAATTAATGTTTATATAAGTTTCGGTTTATTCCCATTTTTCTTATCAATGTATAATTTTTTTATTGTGATTTTGATAATCTATAGATTTAGTGATATGCAATGTTTATCAAAATTATCAAATGTATGAATTTAATGTCTCAAATACGATAAAAAAAAGAAAACAATGAATAAAAGTTTTTGACTTTCATAATTATTTGCTGATATTCCCAGATTAGAAAGTGGCCACGAATTCACTCTTCAATTTGGTTACGAATTCACTTAAGGGACTTTAACTCTAAATTGTTGTCTATGTTGCTAAGGATAATCTTATCTTCAGCACAGAAGATTACGATTGTAACTTACAATCGCAATTGTAAAATGAGATGAGTTACAACTGTGCTCTTTGTAAGAGTTGTAAGAGTTACGATCGCGATTGTAATTTCGATTGCAAATGCCTGCAATTGATTGTAGCTATGATCATTTTTGTGCATGTGGGCCCTGGCCATGACAACCTTGAGGTAATTTAGGCCTGAACTATGTTAATTGTAAACATGTATTCATCCATTATCAGAAATAATACAAACCATCACGATGTACTGACAATCATTCCTTTATTTTCAGACATGTGACTTCATGAGCGTTGTAATCTGACAGTGTTCCAGGTCCAGCTCTGTGCCAAAGTGTGATAGAACAATATGTTGTGGCTGTGCCTGACTGCAAAATATCTGTTATGAATAACGTCACAGATCTACTTTACAGATATTTTCCCATTTCTGTTCATATTGTCAATCAAACCATGCCTATTTGTGATGTAAGGAGGCAGACATCACACATTTTTCCACCAGCCAGTCAACCTGAAGAGCTTCTAAGAAGCAAATCTGTCCAGTGAGCTAGGAAATGTGTTGAACCGTATTTCAAGTGATGTTGATCGTTCCATCTAAACTGCTCGAATTGATGACAAAATCCTGTAACAAGGATCAGCTATGTCACTTATTCAGAAGTTCATATTCTACAATATCTGAGCATGTCTCATGTACTGTGTTAGGCATGTGTATCGTCAGCTGTCTCTGGTTTGGTGTTTCCCATCTCTAGTCACCCTAAATACTCCTCAGCTCAGAAATGAAAATTTATCTTATATCCAGTCATTCTCCTGTCAGAATACATAATGTTCTGCTCTGGGAAAGATAAATGAATTTCACTTTTGATATAAAAATACATGCTGAATTGCATTGCTGCCATATTTGAAGACGGGACATTACTCTGCCTGCATCTATGTTTTTCTGTCTTGTATATCAGTTATTGCTTCTTATGTTTATATAACCACCACTAACACCTCCCCACCCCTGCCTCCTCAGATGCTGCACGGGGTGGTGGGGTAGCCTAGTGATTAAAGTGTCCGCTCATCACACCGAAGACCCAGGTTCGATTCTCCACATGGGTACAATGTGTGAAGCCCATTTCTGTTTTCCCCCGCCATGATATTGCTGCAATATTGCTAAAAGAGGCGTAAAACCCTACTCACTCACTCTGATGCTGATCATGGAAATGAGGAGCACTGTTATCGCCTTATAGCCTTAGTATCATCCACTAATATGAAGAACATATGTTCACATTGATTATTTATGATGTATGAATGATATTTCAATGATGGAGGCAGGTTTCTTTGTCACAAGGTATTATATTGTTGTCTGTATCATATTCAGTGGAAAGATGTCATCTGTAAGCATGATAAGAAATACAGCAATGGTAGTGGAACACCAGCTACAATTCACCACCAAGACATTGTCACTTTCAAAACTGTTTCTCTTTCAATATGTTCCCATGTAGTTGAGCTTATTCATGTATTCCAAGTTTACAACATACAGTGATGGGCGTCAGTCAGGCTGTGTAGTATATCTATTATATTATGTTAATTGAGTAAACATTTGCTGTTGTAATCTGCATGAACTCATGCATAAGCTCCCTCGCTCATCTATTCAAGTGAGTGAAATGAATATTAATGTGTTTAAATTTGGAGAACTAGTTGAAAGATTTGAGCAAACAGCTTTCTATATGAAAGTCAGTTCTATGTATTCAAATAAATGCATGTTCTTGTCCCAAGTGCTCCATATTGTCTGGTGAGTTGTCCCATTAGCACATTGACAAGGAAAGTTATGTCATTGAAACTTTTCAGCATGAGAAAGTTCATTTACACAAAGACTGTCTGTACATTTATGTAAATAGAAAAAATTGTTGCAATATATTATTTTCTGCATATAATTATTTTTTCATACTTATTGTTCATGTTGTTTTTTCAATGAAGGATGTGAGTGCATTACAGAGGACAAACAACTTCATTTCAAAGCTTCGTGACCCTCATATTGATGAGGGATTTCATCAAGCACTGTGTTTACAGTTATTTCCAGCTCAGCACTATAAACATGGTCGACTTTGCTCAAGCTTTCGGCATGAATCCTCATATTTGATGTGATGAAGTATGTTGTATGTCATTAGATCTTTAAAATGGTTTAATGGAATTAGATTTTCCTAATGGATATATACTGACTGACCCAAAACATTGTATGCCAAATACAATTTTTAACACACTGATCCAATAATATAGTTAGGTCTTCAGACGAAAGTCTGGAAGACCTACTGTTATTATCCGAATATTCTTATTCTTATTCTTATTATTATTTGTACAAATTTTGTGAAAGCTCTCCTGAACTAACTACTGCGTCGATTTTCATGAAACTTTCAGGGGTGATAGCCTGTGTGCTGAAATTGATACATACTGGAAAAAATCCCGGCTTCCGGTAAGGGCAGACAACCCAAAATGTCAAAATCTTTACACCTCATTATCTCAAAAGCTATTAGAGATAAATTGACCAAATTTTTACTTAATGTAGACAACATCATTCCTCATCGATTCAACGCATAGCGGAAGTTGGCCAGCAGAATAGCTTTTCTGACATTTTGAAAAAACTTAAATTATTGTCGATTTTCGTGTTTTGACGGTGCCTGTGTTTAAAAATCTTCTCCTCCTGAACGGCAAATAGTACAATCTTGTTTGATATATCGTCGTAAAGTCCACACCCCGGACTACATGGAAAGCCCAAGGCATGTCGATATCTTGAATGGTTTTGGAGTTATCGCCCTTGGAAGTTGGCGTATTTTTCAAAGACGCATTTTCATAGAGTTCACAAAAATGTCACAACTCTGCGAAAACTCAATGGATTTCATTTTCCAAAGTACCAATTTGTAGATAATTGAATGGCCAACATGTTTGCTTCAGGATGTTATTATGTAATAATGAATAATTACGTCACAATTACGACACAAACACAAACATCGCGATTTTTCACATTTCCGCACGTTTTGACGGTACCTGTGTTTCATAATCTTCTCCTCCTGAACGGCAAATAGTACAATCGTGTTTGATATATCGTTGTAAAGCCCACACTCTGGACTACATAAACAGCCCAAGGCATGTCGATATCTTCAATAAATTTGGAGTTATCGCCTTTGGGAGTTGGTCAATTTTGTCAAAACGCATTTTTGCTTCACATTATTGTTTTGTAAAAGTCAATGATTACGTCACAATTACGATACAAACATTAGGATGTTTCGCTTTTTGCTCTTTGGGCATTTGAAAACCAGGAAGTGGTGATTGTTGCTAGATTTTACTGACACTTCTTTCAGCTATTTCGCTCAACAGCTAGGTGCTCTTGTGTCAAAAACGTCTTCTGCCTGCGTTTTGGACGGTTTCTAGCCATTAAGTACACTTCAAACACCCGTAACTCCGAGAGTTAAAATGGACGCTCCAGCTGGCGTCCAAAGGAAACAGTTCAAGTAAAGGTAGTCACGGGGAGTGTATGGGGGAAGTCTGAAGACCGTCAGTATTGCCCAAGAGGCTAACCTAGTTTTCATTGTTTTTATTTTTTTCATCTGAACCATCCTGAGTCTGCTTGTAGGCATAAAAATGAATAAATCATCAGAAACATATGGTGAGGTGAGGTGAAAGGTTTAAGCTGGTTTTATAGTGCTATCTCACTGAGATACCATGCCGCAGTTAAGCATGAATACCCCACTCAGACACATTATACTGACTCTGAGCAGACCAGTCCTTGTACCCATTAATGCCGAGCGCCAGGCAGGGACCAACAAGTACCATAGTTTAATGTCTTTTGGTACCGTGACCCACAACCTTCCGCTCTCTGGGCGGACTCTCTAACCGCTACACCACGGAGGCGGTTTCAGCAATATATGGAGTGGCCATGGTATATGAGAGCCAACAATGTACACCATGGAGGCGGTTTCAGAAATATATGGAGTGACCATGGTATATGAGAGCCAACAATGTACACCACGGAGGCGGTTTCAGCAATATATGGAGTGGCCATGGTATATGAGAGCCAACAATGTACACCACGGAGGCGGTTTCAGAAATATATGGAGTGGCCATGGTATATGAGAGCCAACAATGTACACCACGGAGGTGGTTTCAGCAATATATGGAGTGGCCATGGTATATGAGAGCCAACAATGTACACCACGGAGGCGGTTTCAGCAATATATGGAGTGGCCATGGTATATGAGAGCCAACAATGTACACCACGGAGGCGGTTTCAGCAATATATGGAGTGGCCATGGTATATGAGAGCCAACAATGTACACCACGGAGGCGGTTTCAGCAATATATGGAGTGGCCATGGTATATGAGAGCCAACAATGTACACCACGGAGGCGGTTTCAGAAATATATGGAGGGGCCATAGGTATATGAGAGCCAACAATGTACACCACGGAGGCGGTTTCAGCAATATATGGAGTGGCCATGGTATATGAGAGCCAACAATGTACACCACAGAGGCGGTTTCAGCAATATATGGAGTGGCCATGGTATATGAGCCAACAATGTACACCACGGAGGCGGTTTCAGAAATATATGGAGTGGCCATGGTATATGAGAGCCAACAATGTACACCACGGAGGCGGTTTCAGCAATATATGGAGTGGCCATGGTATATGAGAGCCAACAATGTACACCACGAGAGGGTTTCAGCAAGCAATATATGGGCGGTCATAGGTATATGAGAGCCCAACGGAGGCGGTTTCAGCAATGGTATATGAGAGCCAACAATGTACACCACGGAGGCGGTTTCAGCAATATATGGAGTGGCCATGGTATATGAGAGCCAACAATGTACACCACGGAGGCGGTTTCAGCAATATATGGAGTGGCCATGGTATATGAGAGCCAACAATGTACACCACGGAGGCGGTTTCAGCAATATATGGAGTGGCCATGGTATATGAGAGCCAACAATGTACACCACGGAGGCGGTTTCAGCAATATATGGAGTGGCCATGGTATATGAGAGCCAACAATGTACACCACGGAGGCGGTTTCAGCAATATATGGAGTGGCCATGGTATATGAGAGCCAACAATGTACACCACGGAGGCGGTTTCAGCAATATATGGAGTGGCCATGGTATATGAGAGCCAACAATGTACACCACGGAGGCGGTTTCAGCAATATATGGAGTGGCCATGGTATATGAGAGCCAACAATGTACACCACGGAGGCGGTTTCAGAAATATATGGAGTGGCCATGGTATATGAGAGCCAACAATGTACACCACGGAGGCGGTTTCAGAAATATATGGAGTGGCCATGGTATATGAGAGCCAACAATGTACACCACGGAGGCGGTTTCAGAAATATATGGAGTGGCCATGGTATATGAGAGCCAACAATGTACACCACGGAGGCGGTTTCAGCAATATATGGAGTGGCCATGGTATATGAGAGCCAACAATGTACACCACGGAGGCGGTTTCAGCAATATATGGAGTGGCCATGGTATATGAGAGCCAACAATGTACACCACGGAGGCGGTTTCAGCAATATATGGAGCGGTCATAGGTATATGAGAGCCAACAATGTACACCACGGAGGCGGTTTCAGCAATATATGGAGTGGCCATGGTATATGAGAGCCAACAATGTACACCACGGAGGCGGTTTCAGCAATATATGGAGTGGCCATGGTATATGAGAGCCAACAATGTACACCACGGAGGCGGTTTCAGCAATATATGGAGTGGCCATGGTATATGAGAGCCAACAAGCGGCGGTTTCAACATATGTATATGATGAGCCAACAATGTACACCACGGTGGCGGTTTCAGCAATATATGGAGTGGCCATGGTATATGAGAGCCAACAATGTACACCACGGAGGCGGTTTCAGCAATATATGGAGTGGCCATGGTATATGAGAGCCAACAATGTACACCACGGAGGCGGTTTCAGAAATATATGGAGGGGCCATAGGTATATGAGAGCCAACAATGTACACCACAGAGGCGGTTTCAGCAATATATGGAGTGGCCATGGTATATGAGAGCCAACAATGTACACCACGGAGGCGGTTTCAGAAATATATGGAGTGACCATGGTATATGAGAGCCAACAATGTACACCATGGAGGTGGTTTCAGAAATATATGGAGTGGCCATGGTATATGAGAGCCAACAATGTACACCACGTTGTCCATAACTGCAACAGGTGATCTGTTGAATGTGAAGTCATGAATGACCTTCAACAGAAGATTATGAGTTGAAGTCTGTGTGGGATGTGGAAACTAACTATATTTGTAACCAAAAGCTGTCCACCATCGTGGGTGAGTGAACAGAGCCTGTGGAGTGAAAGAATGGTGGCTTGACCTTGCAGACCATATCATCCATGGCATATCTATACACAGTAGTTGATAGGAGTTGTAATTACTCTGCCTAAAGTGCAGCATTATGGGAACAAAACAAGGGTCGGTCAGTGCGGAGTCAGCATTGTGTGTCAGAGTAGGTTAAAAATGCATCTTTGTATCTCCAGGGGCGAGCACTATAAAACTGTCATTATTTTGGACTTGTACAAGCGCACACCGTGCACGCACATGCGCGCGTTGCAGTGCACACACACATACGAGAGAGAGAGAAATGACCCAGGTTTTATAAACTGAATGGAGCTGTTTGCCCGGTCATTACCTGCACCATTTGCACAGGCGAAACAAGAGCTTGTGAATACTAACAGGATACAGTCACTACAGTTAGGTGTCTTCGTGGTCGGCTGGGAGGAATCTAAATGTTCAACCTGGGTACCTAACCTTCCCAGATATCCACTGTCAAGCTCATTCATTTGACGCAGTACTCAGCACCAGTTGAGCCATATGACGCTAGTCTGTGAGAATGGTTCTTGTTTGACAATGTGTGTAGCATCAATTCGGGCAGATAAAGCTGTCGTGTCCTGCAGCACTGTAGTGGTTAGATGGATTACAAGTGATGACCAACAGGACATTACTTTATCAGGTCATTGTCATATCCATTCCTACAATTGCAAGGAATTTCAAAGTTGAAACTTCGAGATTCTACAGCAGTGTGTTAAACGATATAATGGGTTTTTTAAAGTAAGGAAACATATGACTTTATCATCTTATTATTAACCAAATAATTAATTGCATTGAGCGATGATGCGATGTAGATTCTAACCCATTTATCAATGTTCCTACACTCACCAACTTCTAGAATATGATCAAACAATGTCTTTCTTTAGGTCAAACATTTTCTATTTATGAATCATATTCTTCCAAAATGTTGAGTGATGTTTTGTTTGTACTGCCTTTAAGGTTAAGCTGTAAACAAACAAAAGAAAGCAGTTGACTGTAGTACTATCATATGAGTAGGTATAAGGGCTAAAAGGTCAATGAGAGAATTATTAACAAATATCTATATGAAATGTGTGATTGATGGTATATTACATAAACTATTGTGATGAAATAAAATTATGAAATACAATAAAATATATTTCACACATTTTGTGCATTTTTGCTCAAAGTAATACTCAAATACATCATACATAACTGATCAAATTCTATGATCTATATTGATAGCAAGCAATAGTACCAGGAGGTATGATCCCATAGTTTATTATTCCATATTTCATCTAGTTCACAAGTTGGTAACTTGCAATATGTACTTGTTGTACATGTACATGTTAACTTACTGGTGGGTAAGAGAGGGTTGTGTGATCAGGATTCATGCTCTGGTTTGTCTGTTCCAGAGGCCATTACCGGTATATGAAAACACCAGCAGGTAGCATTAGGCAGATGTTTATGATTCTAAGTGAATTTTCTAATGTTGATTATCCAGTCCAGTATCAGGAAAATATTTAATTGTTTGGTTCAGGGTTTAAATTATTTAAATTGAATTGAAATTGAAACTTTATTCGTATGACTTGTTTCCTGTTAGTCATACCAACTTTGAATGTGCATAAATGTCTACCATTGTAAGGAAGGCGACTCTGTGGATGATTTACATATAGTCACGATATGGCTGAAATAATAATAATAATAATAATAATAATAGGCCATTTATATAGCGCCTTTCCACGTCGCAGGGATATGCTCAAAGCGCGCTTCCTGAGCTCAAGTTAAAACTATATACAGTTGGCAGGTACGGATGATTGGAAGTCACTTGTAGCAAAGAAATAGATGAGTCTTTAGTCGTGTTTTGAATGTACTTAGGGAAGGAGATGATTTTAACTCGATAGGGAGAGAGTTCCACAGAGAAGCTGTCAAAGTGACTTTAACTTTTAACTCACTCACTCATGATTTACAGAAGTTTACAGATTACTTTTATACAGTATTGGAGGTCACATGATCCAGATTACAATCGTGTTTACACATATTAATATTTGTGTGCGGAGAATTCATACACATGATATTCAAGCATTTTTACAAAATAATAATTCATTTTCCCAATTTACTTTAACAAATACACTTCTATTGTATTTAATTTTGAATACTTCTTTTGAAAAATGAGCAAGCCCTTTCAATGTAGGAATATCTGTTGATGACATGAGTTGTTTGAATTTATCCTGAATGGAGTATGTGTATTAGTATTTTGGAATAAATTTAACTCTGTTGATGCTGTAGTTTAGACAAACTAAAAGAAAGTGATATTCGCCCTCTGTTACTAATTGGTCACACATTTGTACATATGGATATCTTTCTATAATGCTGTTTTGCATATTCAAATTATGCGACAATGCAGAATGTGAACAAGCTTCTATTTAAATCAATGTTTGTTGATAATAGATAATATTCCAGCATTAACAAGGATATATATACATGTATATGAACTGTAGTGGGACAAAAAGGATGAACTCTTTATTTTCTGGAACTGTTTTTGAATTTCTTACTCCACACATCCTTATTTGAACAGATGAATAAAATGTCTCATATCTCCACAGTCTTGAGCTATGAAAACATATGAAAATCCTGTTTTAAACAATAGGCTTCTAATGAGCGACACCCAGTTCACAGTAACATGTTTACGTGAGTCTTCTTCATAGAATTACATGCATGTGGAAACCAGAGGGATAATCTTACAACACAACAGGGTTCATCTTGCAAAATAATTTGTACACAATCTATGACAACTAATTTAACTGAGAAAGCACTTGATGTGGAATATATACTAAAGCCAAGATATCTTTTAAAGAAAGTGCTCTCAACTTGTTCAGTGGACTTTCTATATGCGTAACCCCAAACCTCGCTACCATCAAATAGAATCAGTACTAGTTTGGTTTTAAAAATTGTGGCAACTGTTTGAAAACAGGAAACATGCTTTTCCAGCTTGCACTGTGATGGTTTCACATCTTTTCAAACAGACTTGTGTGGAGGCAAACATAATGTCTTAATATTTATGGTGCATAGTAACACACATCTGTTTGTTTATGATACCATTTTTCAGCTTTTCTAAGATATCCACCATTTTTTAAGTGAGTCAGTGGGTTGTGTTTTAGCAATATTCCAGCAACATCACGGCGGGGGACACCAGAAATGGGCTTCACAAATTTCACCCATTTGGGGAATCGAACCCGGGCCTTCAGCGTGACGAGCGAACGCTTTAACCACTAGGCTACCCCGCTGCCCCCCAATTTTTAAGACAAAAATTTATGTTTATCCAGGTTTAGTTTGATTTCCATTTATCACAAAATGCTTCTAATAAGTTCAATTTTCTTACTAAGTCAACTACACTACCTGCTTATAACACCACATCATCAGCAAAATATCAACAAAGTATTCTTCATTCATCATTCATAATTTATTGTCCTTTTATGAAATGAAAGGACAACTTTTTTTTAAAATAATCTGTAACTGTCACTTGATTAAATGAATATGAAGGTTTCAGTTGTATTTCCTTGATGGTAAATACCGAAGGTTAAAAGTTGAAAATAGAGATGTTTGCTCATGGTCGTCGGGTGATCTTTGAATTTACTGCCCTGGAATTGTAACAAAATAGTTATATTTTCATGAAAAACATGCAAAACATATTATGCATGCTACCTGAATGAAATGGAAACGATTGCTGATATGACTTTTTCAAGACCATAAACGCAGAAATACACTTTGTGGTTTAAACAGGACCAGCCCGACATCAAAGTGACACGCCCACTTTTAGCAGACGAATTTGAATGACCTCCCTTTGATAAACGGAAGTAGATGTCGCTCATCATACAATGACGTTAGATTGCAGAAAGATGGAGATAAAACAAAATAGACAACATTGACTGATAAAAGCTGATAACTATGACAGATAACGACGAGTTTGGTCCATTGGAGTCGGCAGATCTCTCGCCAACAGGTCTGCAAACGAAAGTGTTGTGTGTCTAATTTCTGTGCATCGTAATCGATGCAGTTTTGCACCCGAACAGGTGCCTGTCAATTTCACATAAATTCATGAAAATTGGCATGATTTTCTATCAGCATGTTCGTTATTGAAAGAGAATAATTTTGTAAAATCAACTGGTTGAAAGGCCGACATTTGGTTTTCTATATGTGTGTGTCGATGTTGTTGTAGTGATTCCTTACGTTATCAGTTGATCATGGATCTTTTCACAAACACACTTCCTCAAACCGAAAATAGTTGATTATGATGTACCAGTACAGAAGGTTTTAGTTTACATCTTGAGGATGAAACCATCACAGCAACAGTGCTGTTGTAACAGACACAGTCATTTCTGGTTTCCTGATTACAGAGAGGCAACTCATTCCAGCTAATAAATACATTGTGATTTCATTTTCATGCTGTCATGAGATATACAGTCTATTATTATGTTATGCAAGTGAGTGGGAGGGAGATATCTATCCATCCACTTTCAATGGGATTTGTTTTTTATGAACATTATGGATGCAGGAATAAGAGTTGGCATACATCATTCAGTCTGCTTACCATTAAATATGTTAATGGACTTTGGCTAATGACGTCAAAAATATGTTTTTGTCAGCAGTCCGTTGTTGATCAGGTGTGACCATTGTCATGTTGGAGTCCAGAAATATTATCATAAAACTCAAAAATGATAAATGCTGTTTTATATTCTATTTATATGTTTTATAAACAGGTTTTATGATTCCATTGTTATGGCTGTTGTTTATCTTCTGACAGTGAAATATATCAGATTTAGTGAAGCTGTTGTTTTTCCCTCACTGGCTAACATTCTACTAAAAGGAAAGACTACAGAATTACCGGATACTTTCCGCCATCTTTGGAAGGTTATTTTAGAGTATCCTAGCAAAGGCGTTTTGTTTATGTTGCTTACTCGACTCAATTTTGTAGCTATCTTAGTGTACTTACTTTCTTAGCTCTTGGATGTCCGTTACTATGTTCTTTAGGGTTAGTTTAACAAATATGGCTATCGTTACAAGGATTAGATATGATTCTTACCTTTACAGAACGAAATCGTCCGCACTGTCATTAGCATCAGGTTGAAGGGGGGTGAACTGGCATCTCACATGCACAATGTCATGATCTCTGTCATTGGGTTTATGTACCCGACCAATAAGCTCCAAGAAAGCTGAAAACTTGTCCTATCGGTCACTGAAGTACTTCCTTCTTGCACAAAATTCTTCAATATATGACAAATACAACCCCTTAGTTGTTCCTAATCATGGAAGTGATCTTTTCAAGGCACCCCAAGAGAACTCAATGGTGTTAGTATGCGCACCTGTCTCGTGCTTCAAACAGTCATAGGCTTTCCAGCAATTGCTTATGATTGTGGTGCCTGGTTTATTATATATCTTTATAATCGGAAGTCTTTTGATTCCCGATTGATTCCCCCGAAAACCTACTGACCCTAAGCCCTTTTACCCGATTAAATTTTCTTTTTCCAAACTTCAATTCATCAATCTCAACTACTCTTCCCGCCCCACCGATCTTATTTGCATCCGAATCTACTTCAACAACACACACTTCGCGACAGAAGTGGTACCAGTCCACAGAAGTGTTGCAAGACAAAATGTCTAGTTCCCGGCGTACAAAAACTTGAGACAACTTGAAGACCCAACAGTATGTGAGCGATAGAACTTTGCCACGATTGAGTTTACTGTTCTCAAAGCACGAATTGTGGCGAATAGAAGTTTGTTGCGGTACGATTTCTTGTTACATTTCCAACACAAATTGTCTTTGCTGTAGCTTTTATCTTTACATAGATAGAATTTTCCCAATACAACATTTACCACATGTTTTCCCGTCTCAGTTTCCGAAAAGTCCATTGTTTCTTAAAATTTGATGAAGTGCTTTGTCTTCTGATAACTTGAAAACATCCCACAGTCGCATATTCTGAACACCAAGTAGTACTTGTAAACTTAGAATTATGGCCGTTATTAGGCTATGACATATCAAAATTGGCCAAACACTGAGCACTTACCTGTAACGTGCCCAGGCTCATCCGCTCCAACTCCCAGTATTCTGTAGCTCTGCTTTTCCAAGGACACATTTATTTTTTATTTATGGTAACGTACCATTCATTTTAAAAATCATTGGTTAGTTTTACTAACTGGAAGTCATTCCAATTAATCCGATTTGAATGGTTATTTTTTATTTTGATGCTCCCTTATTTTTTCGAAGTTTATAGCTTGTGCTCTTTATAATAGGAAGTGCATGTGACACTGAAGAATATGGTTGGTAGGTATCCGGTATTCTGTAGGTGTACCCTACTAAAATATGACTTCTTAAGCACTAAAAGCTTGTCAGAGATGTACTAATATAGGTATTAATGTATTTAATTCAACAGGCAGCTCTTGACTTTCGGTGTGTATGATTGTAGATGAGCTGGCAGCTTTTGACATTCTGTTCGTATGATTGTAGATGAGCTGGCCACCTTGAAGCAGCGTCTGGCAGACCTGGAGGAGAGGGAACAGACACTGGCCCGTGAGAAGCTTGAGGCAGAGAGTGAGTTTGGAATAAAGAGAGCAAAGTTCAAAGAGCTTTTCTTACAAAAAGAAGGTCAGTCTATGCTCTTGTGGATAGTGCTCTTGTAGATAGTGCTGACATTTCATACTCTTGTGGATAGTGCTCTTCTAGATAGTGCTGTCAGTTCATGCTCTCGTAGATAGTGCTCTTGTAGTTAGTGCCGACAGTTCATGTGCTTGTGGATAGACACTTTATATGCTTGTGGATAGTGCTCTTGTAGATAGTGCTGACATTTCATGCTCTTGTGGATAGTGCTCTTCTAGATAGTGCTGACAGTTCATGTTCCTGAGATAGTGCTCATGTGCTTGTGGATAGACACTTTATATGCTTGTGGATAGTGCTTTTGTAGGTAGTGCTGATAGTTCATGCTCTTGTGGATAGAGCTCTTGTAGGTAGTGCTGACAGTTCATGTGCTTGTAGATAAAGCTCTTGAAGGTTGTGCTGACAGTTCATGTGCTTGTAGATAAAGCTCTTGAAGGTTGTGCTGACAGTTCATGTGCTTGTAGATAGAGCTCTTGAAGGTAGTGCTGACAGTTCATGTGTTTGTAGATAGAGCTCTTGAAGGTAGTGCTGACAGTTCATGCTCTTGTGGATAGTGATCTTGAGTGTAGTGCTGTCAGCTGTTATTTATAGACAGATGTTGAACTAGTCTAGTCCTCCCTTATCTATCTTCTGTCCATCAACTTTCAAAGTTTCCCCATTGTAGGTGGAGGATGGACATTAGAGGATATTACTCAAATTTATGTAAAAATCCAAAGTAATTGATATGTTTTTGTCAATGTTCATTTGTGAAAATATTTAACAGTTTAGCTGGTTGAACAGTTTTGGTTACCAACAATTTGTCAACTTGCTGTTATATGGGCTTATCTCAAGTTTCTCCTAAACGTGTCTGCTGTTTTCTAAATAGCCTCATTGTTTTCTCCAATTAGTAGCTATGAGATGCCTAAAACCATGGGCTTCCATTGTTATCATCCCTTGATCTGGCTGATTGGTCCTTCAACCATATTTATTACGATCACTTATGGCATGGAAATTCCATCCTTCATGTTTCAATTCACAACAGTAGAGTGTAGAGATAAGAGAAATAATGACAAAATCATTTTGATCGACAGAATAGTGTTATTCAGCCTTATGATGTATGTTGAACATGTTGAATGTTTAGCTGATAAACGGAATGAAAACAGTTTGAAATAACTATGAGCTCAATGTGATGTTCTATGATGGACAGCAGTACCTTGGCATCAGGAATAGCAGGGATACTGACCCACAGTTTGCATTAAGCCAAATAAAAATGAATGCTGTGGTTCCAATTACACCTCTTTAACATTTATTGTAGGTAGGAAGGATTTTCTTTCTATATACATTTTCTTCAGAAGTAAAGTACAAACTAATAACACATTTATCAACATGTAATTGTTTATTCAATCAAGTTGCTGTCGTCATGTCGACTTTCTCTATCAGAATGACTGATGTCCGTCGGTGCCGGGAAAAAACAATGGTATCTGAACGCTTATTTTATTCATACCACTTAAAAAAATAGGGTCGGCACCAGAATTTAAGGGTTGGTCGGGTAATCGGAACCACAACATTTTTTTAGGCTTTAAGTGCCAGTAACACATTCCCATATTTTAATAGAAAATTAGATAGCTTTGCTTTTGTTGACCCTATTTTTCACTGAAAAGATGAAGAAGATGATAAGTTGTGTTATATATTTTGCATGGCATGCAAAACAATTGCATATTACCTCCAAATATAGGAAAATAGTTGAAAAAATCCAAATTTGTATCACAAGGCTCTTATTGTTTTGTTCATTTTAATGCCTGGTCACTGTTACCATGTATATATGAATGTGAAGAATATATTAGAATTCAGATAACAGTGTATGGTCAACACAGGACTTAGCCCTCAAGGTTGAAATAGTGATACTGAGGGTAATCAGACTGTCTTGCTTATGATTTACAATATATGGGTTGGGATGTGACGGACAAGGAAACGTGTCCTTTAAAACATGTTGAGGTTGTTGTCAGGAAATCCTGCTGATGAGTGAATGCATCATTCACCATTGTTTTAGTAGACACTGATCAGACTCTTTGTACCATGTCAGTGTTCAAGAGTAAGAAGCACTGTGAGGCGTTCCTTGTTTAACCAAATATGTAAAATGTTAGTAAAACTCTCATTTTTTGTGCAATGTCAGTCCCTTAATTATCCCCCGCAACGCGTTTTGCGGGGGGGGATTAAAATCGACTCTGTCTGTGCGTCCGTGCATGTGTACATGCACATTTGTCTTTTCTGGAGCATAACTCTAAAACCGTTCAATATTTCTTCACCAAACTTGGCACATAGATAGATCTGGTGGTCTACTGGTGCCTTCTGGTAGCTTTGGATTTCAGAATGAAATATTTTTTGCGTTTCCATGACAACAAGTGTGACTTAGACTGAAATTGGTGGTAGTACTCTTTTCCGGAGCAGAACTCTAAAGCCGTTCAATGTTTCTTCACCAAACCTGGCACATATATAGATCTGGGGGTGAACTGGTGCCTTTTGCTAGTTTTGGATTTCTGAATAAAATATTTTTTTTGCGTTTCCATGGCAACAGTTTTGGCTTCAACTGAATTTGGTGGTAGTGCTCCTTTCTGTAGCAGAACTTTGAAACCTTTCAGTACTCTCCTTCCACTTAGCTATATACATGCCAAAACATTTGACATAATCATAACTCGTAGACATATTTATGAAGAGTATTTTGCCATTGAGGGGGATATTGATGACTTTGTCTTGTTGTTTGTAGACAAATTTGGTTCCTTGATTCAAATACTCCAGAAACCTGTTCATTTGGACAACTTTGTTTGTTAATAGAAGTGTACAGTGAATCAAGGTATCCATTGTGTTACTAGGGGTCGCTTACATTTTCCTAACCGGTGAAGATCCAGGTTAGAACTGATCTTCAGTAATCCATGCTTGTCGCAAGAGGCGACTAACGGGATCGGGTGGTCAGGCTCGCTGACATAGCTGACACATGTCATCATATCCCAATTACGTAGATCGATGCTCATGATGTTGATCACTGGTTGTCTGGTCCAGACTCGATTATTTACAGATCACCGCGATATAACTGGGCACATACTATTGCTGAGTTCGGTGTAAAACAACAAACCAAATATATAGTTAATAGCACGTTGCTCAGGTATCAAAAGTTTCAAGACTAAAAGTGAAAGGAATTATATTTTATCGATAAGCTATGCAGGTTAGTTCCCACACGAAGTTGGAAGTTCAGCCTTGACATGCCCTTTACTTTAAAGCTTATTGTTTTGAATCTGTCATGAGCACCATTCAGATTTTGGAAAATAACTTGGGAAGGCAAATCTGGCGACTTGACAACACTGCTGTTACTGAGTGTGTTAGATATGCTACAAAACATTAGTTTTGATATCTTGTAACAAAGGATTAGTCTGGTACTTATATACTTATAGTCAATCATCTGTTCACTTGACTATGTTTATAGTGTACTTGGTATGGTGACAGTAATGGAGCTATTCTCAATTTAATGTAGTAATATAAGAAACATAGCTCCAAGTTGAAAGCCAGTTATATCAGCATGATCAGTCAGATTAACAGGAGATTCAGTGGTTATGTAATGATAAGTTGCTACAAGATTTAGTTTACCAGTTGAGTACAGATCCCATGTAAGGCCAAATGTCATTAAATATATCTCCTACTGAGATATGTGAATGGGTTATGCAAATGCCATAAATATGCTGCCATAAGGAAATATAAATTAATGATTAAATTCCAGTAAGATATTTTAATAGAGTCAGGTAAACCCCACAAAGAGTTGCTTCCCTTTGTCGATCCTGGATCCAGTGGCAGATCCTTGATCTGTTGGCCTGCACTTATAGGTTCCCCAAAGTTGTTATTAAGTTGGTGAATAAGTTAAAAAATATAGTCAACATAGGAGTAACCGTCTATTAGACTGAGTGATTTCACTCAGACACCATAGACCTGCAGTATCGGGAATCTATAATATGGGTAAACTAGGAATTCATGATAATGGTTCACATATACAAGATTAAAAAGAAAAAGAGCAGCATTTGTTCCCCCCATCAAGATTGTACAAAATCTGTATACTACAGAAATAAACCAATCAGGCATTGATGTGTTATAATGTAGTTTCACTTGACATGTTGGTTGTCACTGTTTCCAGATGAGCTGAAGAAGGAGAAGGAGACAAGGGCGGAGTGGCAGGACAAGATCAGTCAGTTGGAGGAGGAGTTAGGGCGAGTCAGGGAAGAGCTAGAGGGGGTCAAGACAGCAGCCGCGGTCACCGAGACGTCCCGCTGCGAGGAGATCAATGAGATACGGCGCCAGTACCAGCAGGAAGTCGACAGTCTCCAGCATATTATGAGTGGTGAGAATCAAGTATAGAACATTCCCAGGACTTTATTTGATTTAATGTTTGTCTGGTGTACTTGAACAAAGGCCATGTGTTAAAGCACAAGCTTGTGACTTTTTTAAGCTAAGGGTGATCATATTTATCATTCCAAACTAGTTCCCATAGGAGATAGTATTACAATGAAATTGAAACATAGTCCTTTTCAGACCATTGTCATGTCATCGCTTAACATGGCGTCACAAACAAATTGACCCTTATCTTTTTTGTTATCAAATATGTCATCACACACATATAGAGGTTTATATAAAAGAAAGTTGATGTCAGAACACACTTGGGGACATTTCCCTATGTTTCAGTTTGACTCTGAACCTTTCAATAATGTAGTTAATCTTGTGATCTCTGAAATCAATGGGCTCTTTAGTCTAATCGATATTCATGAAAACTGCAACTTAGAAAGTATGTTTCATATTGTATGTTTGTTAAATCAAAACTTAAATAACAGATGGTGGTATTAAGCAGTGCCTCTTTCTTAACACAGTGTTTCGCCCAGAAGAGTTTTGTGGTAGGGTTTACGAGTACAATCGATTATTGATCGACTACTGAGCTCCGATTATCAATCTGCATATTGTGAGCAATAACCAGTACTAAATCAGCTGGTCATGTTTGTTGACATGTATAGATCAGCTGGTCATGTTTGTTTACTTACATAGATCAGCTGGTCATATGTGGTGACATAGATCAGCTGGTCATATGTGGTGACTTATATAGATCAGCTGGTCATGTTTGTTGACTTACATAGATCAGCTGGTCATGTTTGTTGACTTATATAGATCAGCTGGTCATGTTTGTTGACTTACATAGATCAGCTGGTCATGTTTGTTGACTTATATAGATCAGCTGGTCATGTTTGTTGACTTATATAGATCAGCTGGTCATGTTTGTTGACTTATGTAGATCAGCTGGTCATGTTTGTTGACTTACATAGATCAGCTGGACATGTTTATTGACATACAGATCAGCTGGTCATGTTTGTTGACTTATATAGATCAGCTGGTCATGTTTGTTGACTTATATAGATCAGCTGGTCATGTGTGGTGACTTATATAGATCAGCTGGTCATGTTTGTTGACTTATATAGATCAGCTGGTCATGTTTGTTGACATGTATAGATCAGCTGGTCATGTTTGTTGACTTACATAGATCAGCTGGTCATGTTTGTTGACTTACATAGATCAGCTGGTCATGTTTGTTGACATATAGATCAGCTGGTCATGTTTGTTGACTTATATAGATCAGCTGGTCAGGTATGGTGACTTATATAGATCAGCTGGTCATGTTTGTTGACTTATATAGATCAGCTGGTCATGTATAGATCAGCTGTGGTGACTTATATAGATCAGCTGGTCATGGTTGTTGACTTACATAGATCAGCTGGTCATGTTTGTTGACTTATATAGATCAGCTGGTCATGTGTGGTGACTTATGTAGATCAGCTGGTCTTGTTTGTTGACTTACATAGATCAGCTGGTCATGTTTGTTGACTTACATAGATCAGCTGGTCATGGTTGTTGACTTGTATAGATCAGCTGGTCATGTTTGATGACTTATATAGATCAGCTGGTCATGTTTGTTGATTTACATAGATCAGCTGGTCATGTTTGTTGACCTATATAGATCAGCTGTCAGCCTGGGTGACATTTACATTTATACTTTTACAGATTTTGTTGTTGTATTTATTAGAAGCGAGCAGATGAGGCTTCCCACTCGACTGCAGCTCAGTACGAATGTGAGAGAACAAAACTGTCCAATCTCACTGTCAAATACGAGGAAGAAATCCAATCATTGCGAAGCAAACTCAGTCAAGAAAGGTCAGTAGATGAAACATGCTATGAAAGCCTGTATAGCCATAATGTTTGATGTAGACCTTCAAGTGTCTGTAGTCCAGACATCCAAGGTAGTTGACATGTCACCAGTCAGATCCTGCTGGTATAAAAGTATGGATGCCATATGGAGATGGAATAATTTCAGTCACCTTATGCTTGTTGTCTCCTGTGGCAAACCAGGCACAAAGTACTTGTTGTACACTGTAGGGGTGAAACTGTACGCTCTTACCATGGTGCGGGGTGTATTGCAGTACAAGGCCATCGGTTCGGTCCATTTCGGTTTGGTATATGAGCTATGAAATAGACGCCATTTAGCGAAGAAATGCATAGATTTGGACAAAATGATTCAATTTCTAGACATTTTAGAAAAGGTTTAAAAAGGTTAATGAGATAACAATAAGAAAACTGAAAATACCGAATTTTTGCTTTGCATTATGGTATACCGAACCAAACGCAAAATACAGCAGTTCTACTAATACCACGATATATACCGTTTCACCCACTGCTCATACAACCACTGGTTTACATAACTATTTGCCTACTTGTGGAATGATGCAACACTAAACACCATCACTCATATCAAGGGTGTATTGGTGGGTCACAATGGCTCCTCAGAACATGGAGGACTGCTGGTCTATGGAAGTGTGTCCACCATGAAAGTTACTGATGAATATGTACTTTCCAAAAGTTTTTTGAAGGAAACCTTGTAAGGAATCATTGTCTTCCAAAATGTTGACATGCTTATGAAGAAATTGAAAATGAAAAGTAGATCTTCTTGATTAGGCTGATCTTGTTTGTATTGTCTACTGCATAAAAAGTCCAATTATGACTCAGCTTGCTAAAACAGTTATAGTGTGACCAGAAATTATTAAGAATTTTAGGAATATGTTTAATTTGATTTCTAGTATAAACAACCTTGACCAGCTATCAAGTGCTTGGTTTCATTCAAGAGAGACAACTCCGTTAATCCTTTTTCATTAGTTTGTGAAGAGTTATCCCCCTTTGTTTACTTGCTAGCAGACGACATTTTCAGTGATCCTCAGTATGGAGGATTTAGAGACGAGGAAGTTGATTTTAGAGTATTATAACAAGGACATCAGATCAGCTAAAGTGATTTCAAGTAGAACAGGCATCCCTTTGTCCACTGTTTATTGTGTTTTGAAAAATATTGCAAATGGATATGGCATTGAGCACCAGGTAGGTGACAGGGGGCGGGTTGGTATTCTTGTTTCTAAAAACAAACGAAGGAGTTTGGAAAACTTAAGGCTGGATATGATTGATAGACTAACTGTGGCTGTCTGTAAGGAGACAATTAGAACTGAGCTGCATGCAATGGGTTGGCAGAAAAGTCTAATTCCATCACCGATCATGAAACCTGAACAAAAGGAATGAAGGTTGAACTGGTGCTTATCAGCATAGCAATTTTAACTGGGACAATGTGATTTTCTCAGATGAAAGTTCTGTGTGGCTGTTTCCTAATGCACTGAAATTCTGAACCAAACAAACTGAAAAACCTTTGTATCAGCGCCCAAAGTACAGTCCGAAATTTAACGTGGGGTGGCATATCTGTGTTAGGGGCAACGCCCCTCTGAGTATTTGAAGGGAATATGAACAGTGAGCGGTACACAGATATTCTCGAGGGACATTTACTTCCATCTGCTCACGTGTTCTATGGACATTTTTGGATTACATCGTTCAAAGCATTCACAGGCCTGGTTTCGGACCCAAAATGTGACATTATTAGATTGGCCAAGCTATAGCCCTGACCTAAATCCAACAGAAAATGTTTGGGGACTGATGAAGGAAAGTGTCAATAAGAAAAATCTGACAAATACTGCTGAAATGAAAGAAGAGGTGGTCCGATATTGGGACAGCATGGATCACGACTTTTTCTAACTTCTTTGATCAGTAGTATGCCCCACCGCATTGAAGCCTGCATTGCTGCCAATGGTGACTTGACAAAATACTAACTGTTCACCTGTCTTTGAATCTGGAGTTATGTTCTGCTAATATTCACATTTAATACGTGAGTAATGAGTGAAAACAAATGAAAAATTTACAATCTTTAACTTCTCAATAATTTCTGGTTGTACTGTAGTTTGTTACATACATGTTCTTTCATGACTTTGGGATATATACCACAGTCACACGTCATCTACTGGGTACCCGGTGGGATAAGTTATATGACTACTGACCTTCTAGCTCCTCACAGGCAGCTTGGGTTATCCGGGGTAATAATAACCAGGTTGGCACTACGAGCATTATCATATATTGCTTACATTTTCATGGGTTTGTTTTGTTCGTGTCATCACAGTGTCGGTAAGAATGATGTTGAATGGTTCTATTGTGCATCTTGGAAACTTTGTAACCCTTCACTCACTCGTTACCAAGGAGACTTTAGAGTGATATATAGCCTACACATAGGATGTTTCATTTCAGGGAAGGTTTTCTGGCCAATGTTGCCAAGTCCTTGAAGCGAGTTGGAGGGATTGGTCCCAACCTGACTCCTGAACAGGAGAACTTGGAGGACAGCATGAGGAAGGTGGGTGTACATGGACGGACTCATTATAGGGGTTGATTGTTTTTTAATACTGCACCAGCAATATTCCAGCTGTATGGTGGCAGTCTATTGATAATTGAGTCTGGACCAGATAATCCAGTGATCAACATCATGAGCATCGATCTACACAATTGGGTTGCAACGAAATGTGTCAGCCAAGTCAGCGAGCCTGACCACCCGATCCCGTTAGTTGCCTCTTACCACAAGCATGGGACCAATTCTAGAACACCAATTCTAGCCAGGATCTTCTCTGGTCATTGAAGGGAGTGTGGATAGGATCATCAGCAATTTGATAGTACCATGGTTTGTTACTGTTATCTAAGGCAGTTGACATTTCTATGAATTAAGTTTGACAAGTTGCCTTTGTAGATATTTAAGAAATACAGTTGACCGAAGCATCTTAGAATCTTTGTTTGAAGTGGTTGGCTGGCCTTGTAGCTAACACTTTCATTGGTCATCGTTGTATGTGAAAGACCCAGGTAGGATTCTCTGCATGACTGCAGTGTGTGAAGCCAGATATTGGTGTCTGTTGTTGCCATGGCGGGAATGTGAACCTCATCACTCTGTCGGTGTTCTACAGGCTCAGGAGGATGCGGAGATGCTCAAGTCAGTGGTGATGCCCCTGGAGGAGGAGATTTCTATGCTCAAGGAAAAACTGAAGTTGGCAGAACAGAAGGTATGTTGGATAAGATTGGTTGGTTGGTTGGTTGTTTTACGCCACACTCAGCAATATTCCAGCTATATGGTGGTGTTCAGTAAATAATCGAGTCTGGACCAGACATTCCAGTGATCAACAGCATAAGCATCGATCTATGTAATTGGGACACATTGACATGTGTCAACCAAGTCAGCGAGGCTGACCAGCCAGTCCCGTCAGTTGCCCTACCACAAGCATGTGTTGGTGAAGACCAATTCTATCCAGGGCCCCATTTCACAAAGCTATCATAGCGCTACGACTGTCGCATCTTCTATACTGTAACATAGACTTACAACAGTCGTAGTGCTACGATAGCTTTGTGAAATGGGGCCCAGGATCTTCAGGGATATGTTGGCTATGAAGCATTAGAATGCATGGGAGAATCAACAAGTCCTCTTCCAGTCTTCATCATGGCCACAATGTTCAGGTTCAGGTCCTGAATATTGAAGTCTTTCCAAATGGTGTCAAACCCTGTCCAATTCTTAACTTATCCTGACTGATACCAATTGGTGATCTCTTCATTATCCAGAAATACAGTGGAAACTTCCTGTGTTTTGTTTTGAAATTAGGAGCTCAGAAAAAATGCAACTATCATGTTGGGCAAAAATGAAAGTATTGAGTCAGCTGGATTGGTCACATGGCTTGTGAGTGCCTGCATCGGGCAGGGGTGTGTTTGGGTGGGATGCTTTTATGTTCTTGGGAAACGCTGCACAGGAGGTTTTCACTGCATTTTGGGAGTTTCAAGAGACCAGCATTCAAGCTAAGTGATTGCAGGTGTAAATATGTAAGATGTGATGTTTGTGATCTGTTGTTATTGTATACAAAGCAACTAGTGTATGGGACAGACAGATTTCCTCTTGTTTTATTGGGAACACTTGTCTATTCTTTTTCATAGAGATCATCCTTGGGTTACATATATGCATTTTCTGTGGCTGAAAATGTCATGTGACAGTTGTATCAATGTTTTAATAAAAATATTGTACAATAAATAAAATCTTTTTATCTATTATATGGCCCATCCACGTGGAGTTACCTCCCTGCTACGCATGCACAGCCAACCAGGTAAGCACCTAGGCCCGTATCATCATTCCTTCTGCTGTCACTCAAGCGTACACATGTGTTCGGAGTTACTAAACTGATTTACTTCTCTTGTGAAAGAATGTCTGAGACTTCAACAACTGTATGTATAGTCTTTATTCATTCTTGAAAAAGAAAAAGAACAGTTTTATTGACTTTGCAGTCCGTTATTTCTCATTTATGTGACTTTGTATTAAATCTTTACGCTAGCTTTCCCGTGGTTTACGCACGTGTTGCTATTCCATAGCGGGAAGTTTAGCGTGCCACGTGGTTGAAATATTGCGTTATTAACCAAGTATTTCATGTCGCGTGGTCACATTCACATAATTTTCAATGTTTTGTACGTGTATATTTACGCTGCTGTGTTCCGCCGTTAGCTACATGCTTGCATGTTTGCTTTCAAGCGTTTACTTGGTGTAGTGTCTGCGGGCAGAATATCCCAAGAGCTGATAGGCATGACAAATGCTTGTGCTGTTTAGAGAAAGCGGGACATAACCCTGAAATCTGCGAACTCTGTTTGGCCTTTTACCCCCGGGCCCAGAAGAGACGGGCGGCTGATTTCCTTTTTAATAAGGAATTGCGAGAGGCGGGAGGGGAACTGACCCAGGAGGTCCCCCTGTCCAAAGCCAAAAAGGCTAAACAAGCTAAACCTAAGTCTTCGCATAAGTCGCATTCCCAATCTCAATCCCAATCTAGTGGGTTTGATATGTCAATAATCACTCAATTGTTTCAGCAGCACATGGACTCCGTGAAGTCCCTTGTTCATGAGTCTGTTGGAGGTCTCCGCCAGGAGTTCCTCGCCCACTCTGAACAGGGGACCGAGAGTCCGGGGGTGGGATCGCCGAGCCCGACTCGATCCCTTAGCCTGGAGGCGACTGTTGATCCTTTGCCTTTGGCTTTTGGGTCCAGACACCTCGGCTACCCCGGAGGGGGAGGGTTCGCTCCCAGTCCCCCTCTCGGTGCTGGCGCAGGGTCCCTTGAGGATTCCTGGGGTTCCGGTCCTTGCGCCCTGGCTGCTAAGCAAGGGCGGTTAGTTTCACCGTTTGCAATAGCGGGTGAGACTCTTTGCGGTCTGCCGCGTCTGCTGTGATGTGCGCAGTCATGGGGATGCGCAAGCTGTGGCTGTCTACATCCCGTTATTCGGCAGCGACACAGCAGACCTTGCTGGCCCTTCCGTTTTTCCGCTGGGAGCAACGGTGTTTCCAGGGGCACAGCAGGTCATTCAGGAGGCTGCTGCAGCAGCTACCTCCTTCAAGGACTCTAAGGCCTTGTTGGAGCATCCGCGGGCTTCTCGCTCCTGTAGCGGGTTCCTCCTCCGGGGCGCAGCCTACGCCCGAGTCTGCCGGCTGGCTTCGGCCGCTGGGCAGGGGTAGGACGAGGAGCCGTCCCGCCAAAGATAAGGGCAAGGAGCAGTCCTTTTCGTCTGGCTCCCAGCAGCATTTTCGCGCTCGCGTGGGGTCTGCCCCGACCTCCCGTTAAACCAGCAGGCTGTCGCCGTGGGTCCGTCCCAGTCAGTTTAACTGCAGGGGACCACTCACGCCCTCTTGCCACACGTCCTAGTGGGGGGCCGCCTCTCTCTGTTCCTGCCGGAGTGGGAGAAGGCTGCCAGCAACACTTGGGTGCTATCCACCGTCAGTGTCGGCCATCTACCACTGTGGAAGCGAGGCCCGCCAGAGTTCACCGGCATACGTCGCACTCCGGTGCCGTCATGTCCGGTCAGGGCGGGTATACTGCAAGACGAAGTTCAGGCTTTGCTGGACAAGTCCGCAATAGAGAGCATACCACCGGGCGAGGAACAGGCGGGGTTTTATTCCACATACTTCCTCGTTCCGAAGAAGGACGGCGGGTTCCGTCCCATTCTCAACCTCAAGGGGTTGAATCGCATTCTAGAGGTTCCATCCTTCAAGATGGAGACACCTCGCTTAGTGATCTCCTCTGTTCAGCCCGGCGATTGGCTTACGTCGATCGACCTAAAGGATGGGTATCTACATGTGCCAATTCATCTATCATTCAAGCAGTACCTCCGGTTCTCTTACGACGGGATGTATTACCAATTCACGGTGCTCCCCTTGGCATATCCACTGCCCCCAGGGTGTTCACCAAGCTCATGTTAGTGCCGGCTACCCTCGCATGGTTGCAAGGAAGGCGTTGTTACCCTTACCTAGACGACTGGTTGCTCAGGGCTCTAACTCAGCCAGCGAGCCTCGATTCTACCCACACGGTGATAGACATTCTAGTTTGACTGGGGTGGATCATCAACCTCAAGAAATGCTACCTGGTACCCACCCAGGACTTGGTTTTTCTCGGGGCGAGGTTCACAACTCACAAGGGTCTTGTCTTTTTGTCGCCTGACCAGGTCACCAGAGTACGTGAGATGGTGTCTTGGTTCCTCTCCCAGCCCCAGGCACCAGCGCGGACTTGGCTCCGTCTACTGGGTCATATGACGGCAACTATCTCTGTCGTGTGGCAGGCGCGGTTGAGGATGCGCCCTCTACAGCAAGCTTTGGCGAGTCTGTGGGCTCACTCGGAGGATCTGGAGCAGTGTCTCACAGTCCCCAGGTGGTTGTCTCCTCACCTTCAGTGGTGGACCAATGTCGGGAATCTCTCCAAGAGGATCCCTTTGGAAATCCCGACGCCAGCTCTTACAGTTCAAACCGATGCGTCCCTCACGGGCTGGGGGGGTGTTCTGGGCAGTCTGTCGGTGCAAAAGCCCGCCTTCACATCAACGTCTAAGAACTGAGAGCTGTGTGGTTGGTTTCGAGCGCTTCCGGGAGCATGTTCGGGGCCAGGTGGTTCTTCCTCAGTTGGACAACCGTACGGCCATGACATACATCATAAAGCAAGGCGGCACGGCGTCCCTAGCACTCCTTCGGAAGACGTGGGAATTTCTACTCGAGTGCGACCAGTGCGACTGTCAGGTGCTTCCTGTTTATCTCCCGGGGCTGGAGAACGTGCGAGCAGACGCTCTCTCTCGGCGGATCCTGGCCCCGCACGAGTGGATGCTCGACCGGCAGGTGGATCTGTTGCATTCGGCGGTACGAATCAGATACCCGTGTTCTGCTCTCGAATACCGGACCAGAGGGTGTTGGCTTCTAATGCCTTCCTGCTGTATTGGACGGGCAAGGTGCTGTGGGCGTTCCCGCCCCTACCACTCACTCCCCAGGTCCTCTCCCAGCTGTCCACCCAGCCAGCTTGGCTACTTGTGCTACTGGCACCGCTATGGCCGTCACAGAGCTGGTTTCCGGTAATTCTCAGGTTTCTGGCTCAGCATCCAGTTCTATTACCTTTGTGACCGGACATTCTCACTCAGAACGGCTCGCCATAGATTGGCTGTCCGGTCCTATGTTCTCACGTCTATCGGCTATTTCCATTTGGCTGTTAACATGGAAGGCCGTTTTTCTGGTGGCGACATCTGGGCGAAGGGTCGGCGACTTACATGCTATGTCAGCAGACCCGGCGCTGACTGTGTTCCATCCAGATCGTGTCAGTATTCGCCTCCTGGATACTTAATGTCCAAAGATCGATGTGACAGCTCCTATCGAACTTCCTACTCTTACCCAGCCTTCCACATCGGGGATCTCTGCAAGGAGCACTCACCCGTTGGATGTCCGTAAGACTCTCAAGGTCTATATCAAACGAACACAAGGGATCCGTATGGGTACCCATCTGTTCTGCTGTTACGGTGGCGGGTAGGCTGGCATGCTGCTAGCAAACAGACCTTATCACGCTGGCTTGTATCGGTCATTTGTGCTGCTTATCAGGCTAAGGGCAAGCTTCCCCCTGAGGGGTTGAAGGCTCACTCGGTCAGGGCAGTGGCCACGTCAAAGGCTTTTGCATCGGCACTGCCCATTGAAGAGATATGCTCTGCTGCTATTTGGAGCAGGCCTAGCACTTTTATCAGGCACTATCAGCTCGATACACATTCACGTGATCGATGCGCATTTTGGCCATTCTGTTCTCTCCAGTGGACAGTGTCCTGCCACCCTGACCGAGTGAGTCTTGGTTATCTGGACAGTTGACGCTGCTTTCAATTGTGTATCATTGATATATCCGCTATTAACATATTTAACTCCTTTCTATTCTCTCAGGAGACTATGGTCGGCTGTGAGTTAGGTTTCCCCCTTACGGTGCTCTTATAATAGATTCACGATGTGGGTGTGGTTTTTACTTTCGCACCGTGTGCGAATTGCTTTGCTTAACCTATGAGGTCGGATCTTAGCACTTTCCTCCCTGTCGGTTACCCTCCCATCATGCCTCTCGCGGAAGCTTCGGGACACGTGACAGCCGAGTGTTGTGGCGTCTGTTACATTCTTCCAAATGATCGCTATTTATGTGTACTTTGACAGAATTCCCTCCTCCCTAGCCTCCGGTCTTTGGGAGTCTGAGTTAATGCATATATGTACCCCAAGGACGATCTCTATGAAAAAGAATTAGCTAAACCTGTAGAGGTTTCCAATTCTTTGAAGAGAATCGTCCTTGGGGTAGGGCCACCCACCTCCCCACAATTCTGTTCACTGATTTATTCAGCAGAAGGAATGATGATACGGGCCTAGGTGCTTACCTGTTTGGCTGCGCATGCGTAGCAGGGAGGTAACTCCACGTGGTGGGGGCCGTTTAATAGATACGAAAGATTTTATTTATTGTACAATATTTTTATTAAAACATTGATACAACTGTCACATGACATTTTTAGCCACAGAAAATGCATATATGTACCCCAAGGCCGATACTCTTCAAAGAATTGGAAACCTCTACAGGTTTAGCTAAATTCTATTGTGCTATGTTTGCTGTACAGTTATCCATGAATGAGTGCCTGTTAGGCGATGAGGCGAAGAAATCTCCTTCCCTTCCGGATCTGGATGATGTAAAGGACCCTGATGAAAAGGTATATATAGATATATGTCAAAAGCTTGTTCATATGAATGTAATACAGTTGTGTTGAACTTGTTGATGTCTTACCATATTATGCTGTGGCAATCAGCAGAGTGCAAATGTTTGAGGGTCAGGTTGCTGTAATGGAAGGTCGACTGTTAACATCTGTAATGAGGCCTTGTTGCATAATAATGCATTGCAGCCAAACAACTGCAGCGTTGATATATATTCATCACATCGAGGATGTGGATAGCCTAGTGGTGGGAAAGCCTAGTGGTTAGAGCGTTCAGCTCATCATGACCAAAACCTGGGTTTGATTCCCCACAGAAGTAGAGTGTGTGAAACCCATTTCTGGTGTCCCTTGCCATGATATTGCTTGAATGTTGCTAAAAGCGGCATTAAACTCAAATCCTACTCACTCACATCTAGGATATATAAACCCAATTCAAACCAGTCACTACCCCTGATTGACCAGTTTCATGTTGTAGATTTTAAAGCTGATGAAATACTTGAAAGGTGAGAAGGCTGCAAGGACGGACCTGGAAATGTATGTAGCGGTCCTCACCACGCAGAAGAACGTCCTCTGTGAGGACATGGACCGGGTCCAGAAGGAAATGAATGAAGGTGAGGCCTGGAACTGATAAGAGCCGGGTTCGATTTTGTGAAGCCCATTTATTTATAGCCTGTGATATTGCTGAAATATTGCTTAACACAGCGTAAAACCATACTCCCTCTCTCACTCACTCACTGACATATCTAATGAGAGTTGGATGAGGCTGCATTTGGGTTAGTTGGAAAGAACTTCCAGGGTATTCCAGATCTTTTGTATGCCACAGTAGCTTTTGGTGGACAGTTGCCTCTCTCTTGTTGCAGTATGTTCTCTGTTGGAGGATGAGAAACAAAACCATGAGGCACTGAAACAGACATGGCAGATGGCCAATGACCAGTTCCCTTGAGTCGCAGCTTACTCATGATGATGGACATGACGACGCGATGGAGACTGTCCTCACCTCCGAAAGCAGCAGAGGCAGATAGCAGGTGCTTGTTGAACAACCCTATCTAAAAGCTTCACATAAAAGTTATATATTGCCATACCTGTCTCTGTTAACATTCAGTACAGTAGGTGTATTCTGAGCTGGAGTTTGTTTCACAGGTGATGTAATGATTCTTTTTACTGTATAATAATGCCGACTTAATCCAGAATAAATGAGGGAAGATGTGATCTTGCTTCAAACCTGCTTTTGTAAATGTTATTGTTTTAGAAAGAGAGGTTCATTGTACTGAATATTAACAAAACTTTCAGAGCTCCAGCAGAAAGATTTGGAGCGGGAAGCACAAGAGAAGAAAGTGAAAGATTTGGAGGAAGCCAGGGAGAAGCAGGAAAAGGAGCAGGCTGAGAGAAGGAAACACAGTGTGTCAAGGATGGGTGAGTCTGTGGGTCAAGGATGGGTGAGTGTGTGTCAAGGATAGGTGTGTGTGCTTGCGTGTGTGTGTGTGAAGGATGGGTGAGTCTGTGTGTGAAGGACGGGTAAGTCTGTGTGTCAAGGATGGATGGGTCTGTGTCAAGGATGGTTAAGTCTGTGTGTCAAGGGTTGGTGAATTTGTGTGTCAAGGATGGATGAATCTGTGTCAAGGATGGGTGAGTCTGTGTGTCAAGGATGGGTATATCTGTGTGTGAAGGATGGAAGAGTGTTTGTCAAGGATGTGTGAATCAGTGTGTCAAGGATGGATGAATCTGTGTCAAGGATGGGTGAGTCTGTGTGTCATGGATGGTTGAGTCTGTGTGTCAAGGATGGGTGTGTCAAGGGTGGGTGAGTCTGTGTGTCAAGGATGGGTGAATCTGTGTGTCAAGGATGGGTGTGCCTGTGTGTCAAGGACGGGTGAATCTGTGTGAAGGATGGGTAAAAAGGTGAAAGGTGTTTCCAGTATAGATAATGTGTATTTGACAAGCAAACATGCACAGTTGTTAGTTGTTGTTCGTCTATGATTATTACAACATGTCTGTTTGCAGAACAAGCTGCTGCCACTGCTGCTTCAAACAATGATGAAACCAAAGAGGTATATTCACTAAGAGTCTGATACCTGTAATACCTTCATGACTTGTATTTCTTATAATGAACAGGTCAGGTTTGTGATCTTCCTGAAAAGTAGATCATTCTGTAACATTCCATGAAAAAGACCCCTGCAAGATTATAGTTGACTGGATCCTAACAACCAGGACCGACTCAGTTTACTCAGTGTCTATTTGAACTGTTCGATCCATCTGAATGCTACTGTTGAATTCACTAAGTTTCACTGAATATATTCTGCAGCTTTTGAACATTTAGTGACCTATTGTCTATTGGTAGCTCTCTCACTGATGGCCCAGGTATGTTACCCAGAATGGTGAATATCTGAAACTGTATCGTTTGTGTTCTGTGATATACTGATGGAAGAGTTCACTGACACTCGCTGTCTTGCTGTTTCAGAAACTAAAGAAACGTCCTAATGTGTTAGACAAATCTCAAAGCCGGTCCAATGCATCTTTAATTTCCAACACATCAGAAGAACTCATTCCATTTGATGTGTCGGCAGACGATGAAATCCGCAAATCACTGTCTAGTCCAGACATCAACTTTGATGACAAGTTCCTTGACAGCGGTGTCCATGACAGCCTCAGCGAGGTGGACGGCATGACAGTCAGAATTAGTCCTGATAAAGTCTTGAATCTCCCTCCACTTACAGAAGCTCAGATGAAATCAATTACTGGTAAAGGAATTATGTGTTTGCATGTAATCTCACAGTTACTATGATATTACTATGACAGGTGGTTTATCATATTATAAGAGCCGTAAGATTGACTCATGAAGTGATCCGAACTGGCCTTCAGTAACCCTTCAATCCTTGTAGACATTCAGGTCAGGCACGCTGGCTTGGTTGAAGTATGTCATTATATCCCAGTCTCTAAGATTGATGCTCATGATGTCACTCACTGGATTCTCTGGTCATTATCACTCGATTAGTTACAGATTGCCATCATGTAACTGGAAAATTGATGAAAACAATACAAATCTACTAACATGAAAATATGGAAACAGTAACCGTTCAGGATTCCCTTTCACTGTAGGTTGCTGCCCAAGCCCTGCTACAATATGCGTAGTCCACACTGAAGTACATGGATGTATATGTAGTTGTTATACTGATACACCTGCCAGGAATCCTGCTTGATTTGATCCCCGCTCCTTGTTTGCCATACGAGACGACACATCAGAACTAACTTAGTGACTGGGTAGAATGCATGTTGTACCTTGCGGGTATGGACTGTTGCTCACGATAACAGTGTTTGTAATGGTAGAATGGTGCTGACTGACCACATGAGACATCTTGTTGCACTGATAAGCATTGTTCCAACCATTTAGGGAACATGGAATAACCTATGATGACGTCATAGTGTCCTACAGATGACAATCCATTGTGATGTGAAGCTGACATTGATGGACATACTTCTTTCATAGATCCCACCCCTGACTCTGAAGCAAGGCGGATCCTGTTAGCCAGTGCCAAGATGAAGACGGAAGGGTTATCACTGGAAGGGAAGCGGCTTGTCAGTGAAAAGGAGTGGAAACTAATACAAGATGAGGTAGAAATTTTGCATCAAGTAACAATTAATGAAAGAGTTGGGAGTGTGAGGTAGTAGTTATGTTCGAATTGATTACTTCGAGGTTAAATACCTCCCAAGTGATGGAAGAAAGAGCAAAACAGTGAGAGTCCTGTGGTCACAGTCGCAGGTGGTGAACCACCTTTTTGTCCCTTTGTGCTGTTTCTCAGGCAGAGGTTATTCAATTGTGTACCCTGGCTTTATCGACATGTCAGTCCGTCATATTTTTCATTCACAGTGACGGGGATACCACAAAATATTTCAGAATCCCTGGCCCCTGTCAGGTATAGGTGTTCTGAGAAATTTGTGAAACTGGGCTTGTTGACTCAATCACTGGAAGTGTATAATGCAATGCTGATTTCTTGGTGTAGTGGCTGAATGTTTGCTTGTTCCACAGGTGAAGTCTGCCCGGGAGAAACTGGGTCGACCCTGTGATATGTGTACCAACTATGAGACGCAGCTGCAGACAGTGCAGGAGGAGCTGAAGGCTTCCAAGACCGAGGCGGCCCGCCTGGAACGCCAGCTGAACAGTGAGAAGCAGGCACTCACTAACCTCACCAAGTACCAGACGGAGTTGGAGGATGCCCTGAAGGAATCAGCGGAGGAGGCGGAGAAACAGGTCAGCTATGAAAACAGTTTGACTGACTGAGTTTGGTTTTACGCCGCTTTTAGCAATATTCCAGCAACATCACGGCGGGGGACACCAGAGATGGGCTTCATACATTGTACCAATGTGGGGATTTGAACCCGGGTCTTCGGCGTGACGAGCCAACCTTTAACCAATAGGCTACCCCGCCGCCCCAAAAACAGTTTGAAACACAATGAACACATGTTGTGTGATAGTAAGTGTGGTGAAGATTTCCCCTCCTTATTCCACAGTCTTGTATGTTCCATAAAGTCTTTGTGGCTGACAATTTTATATTCTTGGGAGGGGGAATGTGGCTGGGGATTTGTTTATGAATCAACATAATCTTTGATTATAGTCACATAATCTAGTCCTGAAAAATGATAGTAAATATTTTGTTCTCAGTTTGATGAAACATCTGAAGCACAGACTTTCAAGCACCAAATGAAAATGTCCCTGTTTGTTTGACATCGCCTTAATTATTGACTGTTACCTCACCCCCTTGTTTAAATGTTGACTTTCTGCCCCATGAGTTGAAACATGTTTAGTGGCATTAATGGATTTGACAAAGAGACATGCTACTGTATTCATGTGTGTCACACACAGACTGTTTTCATTTAGATCTTATTTCCAGATTTCCAGTTTAAACAACAAGCTACAGGACTGTGAGAAGTACCTGAAGGAATGCAAGCAGCAGTTCATCCAGTCACAGCTACAACTACAGGACCAGTTGGTAGGCAATATCATCAGTTACTTCCATGTAATAGTCCCAGCTACAGGACCAGTTGGTAGGCAATATCACCAGTTACTTCCATGTAATAGTCCCAGCTACAGGACCAGTTGGTAGGCAATATCACCAGTTACTTCCATGTAATAGTCCCAGCTACAGGACCAGTTGGTAGGCAATATCATCAGTTACTTCCATGTAATAGTCCCAGCTACAACTACAGGACCAGTTGGTAGGCAATATCACCAGTTACTTCCATGTAATAGTCACAGCTACAGGACCAGTTGCTGGGCAAATAGCACCTTCTACGGGCATGCTATAGTTCTAGCTACAGGACCGGTTGGTAGGCAATATCACCAGTTACTTCCATGTAATAGTCCCAGCTACAGGACCAGTTGCTGGGCAAATAGCACCTTCTACGGGCATGCTATAGTTCTAGCAACAGGACCAGTTGGTAGGCAATATCACCAGTTACTTCCATGTAATAGTCACAGCTACAGGACCAGTTGCTGGGCAAATAGCACCTTCTACGGGCATGCTATAGTTCTAGCAACAGGACCAGTTGGTAGGCAATATCACCAGTTACTTCCATGTAATAGTCCCAGCTACAGGACCAGTTGGTAGGCAATATCACCAGTTACTTCCATGTAATAGTCCCAGCTACAGGACCAGTTGCTGGGCAAATAGCACCTTCTACGGGCATGCTATAGTTCTAGCAACAGGACCAGTTGGTAGGCAATATCACCAGTTACTTCCATGTAATAGTCCCAGCTACAGGACCAGTTGATAGGCAATATCACCAGTTACTTCCATGTAATAGTCCCAGCTACAGGACCAGTTGCTGGGCAAATAGCACCTTCTACGGGCATGCTATAGTTCTAGCAACAGGACCAGTTGGTAGGCAATATCATCAGTTACTTCCATGTAATAGTCACAGCTACAACTACAGGACCAGTTGGTAGGCAATATCATCAGTTACTTCCATGTAATAGTCACAGCTACAACTACAGGACCAGTTGGTAGGCAATATCATCAGTTACTTCCATGTAATAGTCCCAGCTACAGGACCAGTTGGTAGGCAATATCATCAGTTACTTCCATGTAATAGTCACAGCTACAACTACAGGACCAGTTGGTAGGCAATATCACCAGTTACTTCCATGTAATAGTCACAGCTACAACTACAGGACCAGTTGGTAGGCAATATCATCAGTTACTTCCATGTAATAGTCCCAGCTACAGGATCAGTTGCTGGGCAAGTAGCACCTGCTATTGTCTCGCTATAGTCACAGCTAGAGGATCAGTTGCTGGGCAAGTAGCACCTGCTACTGTCACACTATAGTGACATCTACAGGACCAGTTGCTGGGCACGGCCACTTTCACGCTGTGACTAGATCAGTGTACTAAGCTGTTTATTCAACTGAAGGCTGCCATCAATGTTGGATGTTACTCATGATATCAATCACTGGTTTATTTACTGGCTGAAGAGATATAACTGAAATATTGCAGAAGCAGGCATTAAACAAACAATCAATCAATCAATCAGTCAATCAATCAATCAATCAATCAATCAAGCGTGTTACGACATCCAGTCGGGCCACGTGATCCTTATATAATGAAACGTACAATGTTTGCGCTAATTTATACAAGATGAACTGTTGTGCACGTTGTATTTGAGCATAAAGCATTGAAATATGACATCATATGACATGTTCCCGACTAACACTAATTATAATCAACTGGGATCTCTTTTCTGCAGAAATCACTCACAGAGTCAAGGGAGGAAATACAGAAAGAGGTAAGGCTGGTCTGTTTGACCTTGACTGTCCAGCATTGTAATGTCTCAGTTTTCACACACAGTGCATCACCCATCTAGTGGACGTACTCTGGTATACACACATGACTTAAATCTGTAGAAATGTATTCCTAATGTGGTTACTCTTGAGATGCTGCCCTCAATGTAACTAATACATTACTGCAGTGTTTCCATCGCCAGTTATAAGGACAGGTCCATGAATAGTCATGTTTACTATCTTGGCGGTCAATACACGGTACATTTCGGAAGTACTGATGATCATCACTTTGAGGAAGCTATGCAGAATATTTACCAAATTCCACAATAATGGTAATTAGGTGGTAACACTGTCCAACCAGGTTAATTGGCTGTCATCGTGTGTGTAAATATGGATCTTTGTTCATGCTGGCAACCAGTGATGTGCCATTTGCAGGGACATAGGTGGAACAAGACTTAGTTATGACCTTGTCTCTAGGTCTATAGTGATATCCTCACAGGACAGTGTATTGAGCAGTCTCTTGGTCTATAGTGATATCCTCACAGCACAGTGTATTGAGCGGTCTCTTGGTCTATAGTGATATCCTCACAGGACAGTGTATTGAGCAGTCTCTTGGTCTATAGTGATATCCTTGCAGGACAGTGTATTGAGCGGTCTCTTAGTCTATAGTGATATCCTCACAGGACAGTTTATTGAGCAGACTCTTGGTCTATAGTGATATCCTCACAGGACAGTGTATTGAGCGGTCTCTTGGTCTATAGTGATATCCTCACAGGACAGTGTATTGAGCGGTCTCTTAGTCTATAGTGATATCCTCACAGGACAGTTTATTGAGCAGACTCTTGGTCTATAGTGATATCCTCAAAGGACAGTGTATTGAGCGGTCTCTTGGTCTATAGTGATATCCTCCCAGGACAGTGTATTGAGCGGTCTCTTGGTCTAAGTGATATCCTCACAGGACAGTGTATTGAGCGGTCTCTTGGTCTATAGTGATATCCTCACAGGACAGTGTATTGAGCAGTCTCTTGGTCTATAGTGATATCCTCGCAGGACAGTGTATTGAGCGGTCTCTTAGTCTATAGTGATATCCTCACAGGACAGTGTATTGAGTGGACTCTTGGTCTATAGTGATATCCTCACAGGACAGTGTATTGAGCGGTCTCTTGGTCTATAGTGATATCCTTATGCCACAGTGTATTGAGCGGTCTCTTGGTCTATAGTGATATCCTCCCAGGACAGTGTATTGAGCGGTCTCTTGGTCTAAGTGATATCCTCACAGGACAGTGTATTCAGCAGTCTCTTGGTCTATAGTGATATCCTTATACCACAGCGTATTTAGCAATCATCTGGTCTATAGTGATATCCTCACAGGACAGTGTATTGAGCTGACTCCCTTATACCACAGTGTATTTAGCAGTCATCTGGTCTATAGTGATATCCTTATGCCACAGTGTATTTAGCGGTCTCTTGGTCTATAGTGATATCCTCCCAGGACAGTGTATTTAGTGGTGTCTTGGTCTATAGTGATATCCTCCCACGGACAGTGTATTGAGCAGTCTCTTGGTCTATAGTGATATCCTCCCAGGACAGTGTATTGAGCAGTCTCTTGGTCTATAGTGATATCTTCACGGGACAGTGTACTGAGCAGTCTCTTGGGCTATAGTGATATCCTCACAGGACAGTGTATTGAGCGGACTCTTGGTCTACAGTGATATCCTCGCCGGACAGTGTACTGAGCAGTCTCTTGGGCTATAGTGATATCCTCACAGGATAGTGTATTGAGCAGTCTCTTGGTCTATAGTGATATCCTCCCAGGACAGTGTATTGAGCAGTCTCTTGGTCTATAGTGATATCTTCACGGGACAGTGTACTGAGCAGTCTCTTGGTCTATAGTGATATCCTCACAGGACAGTGTATTGAGCGGACTCTTGGTCTATAGTGATATCCTCGCCGGACAGTGTACTGAGCAGTCTCTTGGGCTATAGTGATATCCTCACAGGATAGTGTATTGAGCAGTCTCTTGGTCTATAGTGATATCCTCACAGGACAGTGTATTGAGCAGTCATCTGGTCTATAGTGATATCCTCACAGGACAGTGTATTTAGCAGTCATCTGGTCTATAGTGATATCCTTATGCCACAGTGTATTTAGCGGTCTCTTGGTCTATAGTGATATCCTCACAGGACAGTGTATTGAGCAGTCTCTTGGTCTATAGTGATATCCTCGCCGGACAGTGTATTGAGCAGTCTCTTGGTCTATAGTGATATCCTCGCCGGACTGTGTATTATGGTCACAGTGCAATATGTTGTTATTGATGGGAGGAATACACTATATCTGGGATGTGTTTGTCATGATTTAGCCCTTGTGCTTCAGATAAAGCTTATTCAAGAAGAAAATGACAGCCTTGTTGGGAAACATTCAAAGACGGCCCAGCAGCTGCAGAACGAGGACATCAACCTGCCCAACAACATGGAGGTGAGACATCACATGGCAGCACCATGGCATCTCTCTTAGTTACTGATTCACACATTGTCTCCAGTTGCTACAGACATGGTGCTGTTCTCATGATCACTGTCAGGAATGTCTTCACATTACAAAGGGTGTGTCTCTGTCGCTGTGTGTCATGACATTGTTGATGATGTCACTGGGATTGGTACTGTCCAAGGAGTGTAGTGTTTGGGTGTTTCAGCGTACAAGGCTCAATACCTTTGGGTGTTATATATGTATGGCTACTATATGGGCTACTTGGTGAGGCATCCTTTCTTTCTTCTCATTATCTGTAAACAATTGGGCTTGTGTTCTTCAGATATTGCCACATACTGTCCCTTGACTACTCGCATCTGAGGGTCAAATTGAATCCTCACTTTGCCCAAATTTCAGTCATTGGGTTTTCAGAATCAAAATCGTCATGTAGATTTTCAAATAGTTCTGTACATCCATTGTCTTAGGCACTGTGGATTTTTCCTCCAAAGAAAAGTCCATGATGTCTCTGAGGTAATTGTTTAAAGAATCTCTGTTGTGCTGTTCATGTTGCAGGAGATGCAGCTGTTGCTTCTGAAGTACCGAGAAGAGATTATCTCAGCCAAGGTGGCAAAGGAGCACATTGAGGAGACACTGAGGAGTGAAATCATGTTCCTCAAGGACCAAGTGGTGTCAGAGCAGCAAGAGAAAAATACCATTGAGGAGACACTTAGTCAGGAACTCAGCACCCTGCAAGAGAAACTAGGTGGGTAAATTGACAATCTCACAGGACATGTCTGTACTGCTGGTTCACTGGGCACAAGTATGTATCTACTGCTGGTTCACTGGGCACAAGGATGTATCTACTTCTGATTCACCGGGCACAAGTAGGTCTCTACTGCTGGTCCACTGGCCACAGGTAGGTCTCTACTGCTGGTTCACTGGGCACAAGTAGGCCTCTACTGCTGGTTCACCGGGCACAAGTATGTATCTACTTCTGATTCACCGGGCACAAGTAGGTCTCTACTGCTGGTCCACTGGCCACAGGTAGGTCTCTACTGCTGGTTCACTGGGCACAAGTATGTATCTACTTCTGATTCACCGGGCACAAGAAGGTCTCTACTGCTGGTCCACTGGCCACAGGTAGGTCTCTACTGCTGGTTCACTGGGCACAAGTAGGTCTCTACTGCTGGTTCACTGGCCACTGGTAGGTCTCTACTGCTGGTTCACTGGGCACAAGTATGTATCTACTTCTGATTCACCGGGCACAAGTAGGTCTCTACTGCTGGTCCACTGGCCACAGGTAGGTCTCTACTGCTTGCTCACTGGGCACAAGTAGGTCTCTACTGCTGGTTCACTGGGCACAAGTAGGCCTCTACTGCTGGTCCACTGGCCGCAGGTAGGTCTCTACTGCTGGTTCACTGGGCACAAGTATGTATCTACTTCTGATTCACCGGGCACAAGTAGGTCTCTACTGCTGGTCCACTGGCCACAGGTAGGTCTCTACTGCTGGTTCACTGGGCACAAGTAGGTCTCTACTGCTGGTTCACTGGCCACTGGTAGGTCTCTACTGCTGGTTCACTGGCCACTGGTAGGTCTCTACTGCTGGTTCACTGGGCACAAGTAGGCCTCTACTGCTGGTTCACTGGCCACTGGTACGCCTCTACTGCTGGTTCACTGGCCCCAGGTAGGCCTCTACTGCTGGTTCACTGGCCACTGGTACGCCTCTACTGCTGGTTCACTGGCCACTGGTAGGCCTCTACTGCTGGTTCACTGGGCACAAGTATGTATCTACTTCTGATTCACCGGGCACAGGTAGGTCTCTACTGCTGGTCCACTGGCCACAGGTAGGTCTCTACTGCTGGTCTACTGGCCCCAGGTAGGCCTCTACTGCTGGTCTACTGGCCCCAGGTAGGCCTTTACTGCTGGTCCACTGGCCCCAGGTAGGCCTCTACTGCTGGTCCACTGGCCCCAGGTAGGCCTCTACTGCTGGTCCACTGGCCACTGGTAGGTCTCTGCTGCTGGTCTACTGGCCACAGGTAGGTCTGTACTACTGGTCTACTGGCCACAGGTAGGACTCTACTTCTGATTCACTGGGTACAAGTAGGTCTCTACTGCTGGTTCACTGGGCACAAGTAGGTCTCTACTGCTGGTCCACTGGCCACAGGTAGGTCTCTACTGCTGGTTCACTGGCACAGGTAGGTCTCTACTGCTGGTCCACTGGCCACAGGTAGGTCTCTACTGCTGGTCTACTGGCCACAGGTAGGTCTCTACTACTGGTCTACTGGCCACAGGTAGGTCTCTACTGCTGGTTCACTGGCACAGGTAGGTCTCTACTGCTGGTCCACTGGCCACAGGTAGGTCTCTACTGCTGGTCTACTGGCCACAGGTAGGCCTCTACTGCTGGTCTGCTGGTCTACTGGCCACAGGTAGGCCTCTACTGCTGGTCTACTGGCCACAGGTAGGTCTCTACTGCTGGTCCACTGGCCACAGGTAGGTCTCTACTGCTGGTCTACTGGCCACAGGTAGGCCTCTACTGCTGGTCTACTGGCCACAGGTAGGCCTCTACTGCTGGTCCACTGGCCACAGGTAGGTCTCTACTGCTGGTCTACTGGCCACAGGTAGGTCTCTACTGCTGGTCTACTGGCCACAGGTAGGCCTCTACTGCTGGTCTACTGGCCATAGGTAGGCCTCTACTGCTGGTCCACTGGCCACAGGTAGGTCTCTACTGCCGGCCCACCGGTCACAGGTAGGCCTCTACTACTGGTCTATCGGCCACAGGTAGGTCTCTACTGCCGGGCCACCGACCACAGGTAGGTCTCTACTGCCGGCCACTGGTCACAGGTAGGTCTCTACTGCTGGTCCACTGGCCACAGGTAGGCCTCTACTACTGGTCCACTGGCCACAGGTAGGTCTCTACTGCTGGTCCACTGGTCACAGGTAGGCCTCTACTGCTGGTCTACTGGCCACAGGTAGGTCTCTACTGCTGGTCTACTGGCCACAGGTAGGTCTCTACTGCTGGTCCACTGGTCACAGGTAGGTCTCTACTGCCGCCCACCGGTCACAGGTAGGCCTCTACTACTGGTCTCTCGGCCAGGTAGGTCTCTACTCTCGGCCACACAGGTGTCTCACCGCCGCCACTGGTCACAGGTAGGTCTCTACTGCTGGTCCACTGGCCACAGGTAGGCCTCTACTACTGGTCCACTGGCCACAGGTAGGTCTCTACTGCTGGTCCACTGGTCACAGGTAGGCCTCTACTGCTGGTCTACTGGCCACAGGTAGGCTCTCTACTGCTGGTCCACTGGCCACAGGTAGGTCTCTACTGCCGGCCCACCGGTCACAGGTAGGCCTCTACTACTGGTCTACTGGCCACAGGTAGGTCTCTACTGCCGGGCCACCGACCACAGGTAGGTCTCTACTGCCGGCCACTGGTCACAGGTAGGTCTCTACTGCTGGTCCACTGGCCACAGGTAAGCCTCTACTACTGGTCCACTGGCCACAGGTAGGTCTCTACTGCTGGTCCACTGGCCACAGGTAGGTCTCTACTGCTGGTCCACTGGCCACAGGTAGGCCTCTACTACTGGTCCACTGGCCACAGGTAGGTCTCTACTGCTGGTCCACTGGCCACAGGTAGGTCTCTACTGCCGGTCCACTGGACACAAGTAGATCTCTACTGCTGGTCCACCGGTCCTCCGGCCACCGGTAGGTCTCTACTGCTGGTCCACTGGTCCTCCGGCCACAGGTAGGTCTCTACTGCTGGTCCACTGGTTCTCCGGCCACAGGTAGATCTCTACTGCTGGTCCACTGGTCCTCCGGCCACAGGTAGGTCTCTACTGCCGGTCCACTGGTCACAGGGAGCTCTCCACTGCTGGTCCATTGGGAAAATGCAGGCCTCCAGTTTCTGATTACGAAAGTCTCTTTGTGTCACTGCAGACGCAATGGCCCTGTCCAGTGCAGTTCCCTTAATTTGATTGTGGGTTCGAATTCAAGGTTCACCCTGATGTTTCAAAACCATGCAGTAGGTTTTACCTTAGTGGTAAACCTCTCAGATTAATATTTTAGTTTTAAGGTTATTTATATTCTAAACTCTGCTACGTTTGTACTATAGAAGCCATGTCTGCTTGTCTCCAGTTTGTCATGAGAGTGTGCAGTCAGAACTAGAGAGAGAGTCGTCTGTACGGGCAGAGTCAGAGACCAAACTCCGTGAGGCAGAACAGTCACTGAAGAGTGTGCAGGCCAAGTCCAGACAACTCATCAATGCACTGCAGCAACGGGTGGAGGAGCATGAGCGTTCTAAGGTAGATAACTCTTTTTAACCTTCAATCACAAATAGACTGCTTTGGCCACATCAGTTCCAATATTGTTAAACTGTCTGAACCCAGCAAAAGAAGAACAATTCATTAGGTAAAATTGTATTCCCCAACTGTTGTGTGGATGCTGTGAGTGTGTCACCATTCTTTTTCAGAGAGATCGTCCTTGGGGTACATATTATGCATTTTCCGGCTGTAAAATGCCCTGTGACAGTTGTATCAATGTTTTTTGAATAAAAAGATTGTACAATAAATAAACTCTTTTATTTATTATACGGACCCTACCTCACGGAGTTACCTCCCTTAGCGCATGCGCACCAACTGGGTAGGCTCCTAGACCCGTATCATCATTCCTTCTGCTGTCACGGCCCTGAACAGACGTTCGTTGTGATTACCTTTCATGAGCCGCACGGCGCTGTATTTTAAGATGTCTGAGACACCACCTGTATGTTTGGTTTTATTTGTCTAAAACAATAACAGTAAAGCCTTACAGTGGTTGTTTCATAATTGTGACTTTGTATAAGTACTATCAAAATACGCAAACTTTCCCGTGGTTTACGCGAAGTTTGCTCTGCCATGGCGGAAGTTTAGCGTGCGTGGTCGTAATATATGCGCTTTAAAACCAACTATTACTTTCGTGGTAACCTTCACGAAGTTTTTCAATGTTTTCTACGTGTTTCTCTGCTTCTGGCCACAAGTTAACTAACATGTTTACGTGTTTGTTTCAGGCTTTTACCTGTTGTTCGGTCTGTGGGGAAGTATTCCCGGGCTGACAGTCACTCCCAATGCGTGGCCTGTCTGGAGAAGACGGGCCATGTGGCTGATACATGTTCAATTTGTCTGGCCTTTTCCCCCGGCACAGAAGAGGCGGGCGTCGACACCCTGTTTTACCGCGAGATGGAGGCGGAGGGGACCTGACGCAGGTTCCCCGCCAAAATCTAAACGGGCGCCCAAAAAAGGAAAAAAATCCCGTGGCCCTTCCCCCTCTCCTACCACTTCGAGTGGTTTTGACATGTCTATAATGGAGTCGATGTTTCAGAAGCAGATGGACTCAATGAAGTCCTTCGTTCGGGAGTCGGTTGGAGGTCTCCGCCAGGAGTTCCTCGCCCACTCCGGACGGGGGGCGGAGAGTCCGGGGGTGGGATCGCCGGCCTCGGCTAGATCCCTCAGCCTTGAGGCGTCTGTCGATCCGTTGCCTCTGGCTTCGGATCCGGACGCCTCGGCTGCTCCGGAGAGGGAGGTGCTCCCAGTCCCCCTCTCGGAGCTTGCGCTTGGGCCGTTGAGTATTCCTGGTATTCCGGTCCCTGCGCACACCCGCCCCATGAGAGCGGAGGCACCAGTTCTGCCTGGCCTGCCTCCAGCGTCTCGGGACCGGGGTCCACGCACGCCGGCTGGCGCTGACGTGGAGCAGTCGGTCTGTTCCTCCCTTCCTGTGGTGCCCACCGCTAGGCAGTCCACCGGGTCGGGGTTAGGGTCCTCTTACGGAGGAGACCCAGCCTCTGACTCGGGCTCGGACGCCGAGGCAATGGAGCTTGGGGAGGTCGAGGAGCATGACGGCGGCTTCCGTTTTGCTTCGGCCTTGCGGGAGGTCCGGCAGAGAATTGCCGAGGGCCTACCCCAGGCCGCGGTGCCTGCTGGTAGCGTGGACTCGACTGAGTTCCGCTTGCCTGGCGAGGCGCTTTGCCCCCTAGGCAACCCTCACAGACGCAGCTCCGCATTCTGCCATCGTTGGTCGCGCGGACGTGGTCGATCCCCTCTTGTCTGGTACCCGAGTCAGGTTTGACTTACCTGAACTCGTCGCGGGCGCTACCAGCTTGGGGAGGATTCCCTGTTCGTCGCATCGATCGCTGACGAGTGTGTTTTCACTTCCGTCGCCTGGGGAGGCTCGGCTTCCTCGAGCAGCTCCGCTGCTCGGCAAGGGCCTCACTCCACCTTTGCCCGCTGGCATCCTCTGCGACGCACGCGCACCGGACCTACGAGGAGGTCTCACCGAACGCCGATGCAGCAGGTGCGGTGGTGGTCCATGAGGCCTACCTCTCCTCGATACAGAGGTCGGCCCTGGAGGCGGAGAGGGCATGCTGGCGACGATGTCGCCGCATGTCGCGGCTACTCCGTCAGCTGTCGGAAGTTCAGGCTCACCTCGCGACACTTTTTGCGGTCTGCTGCGTCCGACGGTGATGTGCGCAGTCATGGGGATGCGCAGGCTGTGGCTGTCGACGTCTAGGTACTCGGCAGCAACACAGCAGACCTTGCTGGCTCTCCCTTCCGCCTGGGAGCCGACCCTCTTTCCGGGCACAGCAGGTCATACGGGAGGCTGCCGCTGCAGCTACCTCCTTCAAGGATTCTAAGGCCTTGTTGGAGCACCCGCGGGTGTCTCGCCCCCGCGCTCCCGTGCCACCTTCCTCCGCCGGGGTGCAGCCTACACCCGAGTCTGCCGGCTGGCTTCGGCCGCTTGGTAGGGGTAGGCGGAGGAGTAGGTCCGCCAAGGGTAGGGGCAAGGAGCAGTCCTCGACTAGCTCCCAGCCAGCACCGGCGCTGCGGAGGTCTGCCCCGACCTCCCGTTAACCCAACAGGCTGCCGCTCAAGCCGTGTGTCACACCCAGTCAGCTCCGCTACTAGGGTCCACGCACACGCTCCTACCCCATATCCCAGTGGGAGGCCGCCTCTCTCTATTCCTGCCGGAATGGGAGAAGGCTACCAACAACGCTTGGGTGCTGGCCACGGTCAGCATAGGCCATCTCCCACTGTGGAAGCGAGGTCCGCCCGACTTCACCGGCATACGACGCACTCCGGTGCCGTCATGCCAGGCCAGGGCGGACATATTGCGCGACGAAGTTCAGGCTCTGCTGGACAAGTCCGCAATCGAGCGCATTCCACCGGGAGAGGAACAGGCGGGATTTTACTCCACGTACTTCCTCGTCCCGAAGAAAGACGGCGGGTTCCGTCCGATTCTCAACCTCAAGGGGTTGAATCGCATGCTCGAAGTACCATCCTTCAAGATGGAGACACTGCGCTCGGTGATCTCATCTGTTCAGCCCGGCGATTGGCTCACGTCAATCGACCTAAAGGATGCGTATCTGCATGTACCCATACATCCCTCGTTCAAGCAGTACCTCCGGTTCTCTTACGACGGGATGTATTACCAATTCAGGGTGCTCCCCTTCGGCATATCGACTGTCCCCCAAGGGTGTTCACCAAGCTCATGTTAGTCCCAGCTACCCTCGCCGCTTCGCCAAGGAAGGCGTTGTTACCCTTACCTAGACGACTGGTTGCTCGGAGCACTAACACAGCCAGCGAAGTCAAGATGCTACTCACACAGTGATAGACATTCTAACTTCGACTGGGGTGGATCATCAACCTCAAGAAATCCGACCTGGTACCCACCCAGGACTTGGTTTTCTTGAGCGATTCAAACGAACAAGGATCTCGTTTCCTTGTCGCCCGACCGGGTCACCAGAGTTCGGAGATGGTATCTTCATTCCTCTCCCAGCCCCAGGCACCAGCACGGACTTGGCTCCGTCTACTGGGCCATATGGCGGCGACGATCTCTGTAGTGTGGCGGTTGAGGATCGTCCCATACAGCAAGCTTTGGCTCGGCTGTGGACTCACCACGGAGGATCTGGAGCGCAGTCTCACAGTCCCCCAGTGGTTGACACCTCACCTTCAGTGGTGGACAAATGTCGGGAATCTCACCAGGGGTTCCCTTGGAAATCCCGACGCCAGCTCTCACAGTTCAGACAGATGCGTCCCTCACGGGCTGGGGCGTTCTGGGCAGTCTGTCGGCTTCGGACTCTGGTCGAAGCGAAGCTCACCTTCACATCAACGTGTTGGAGCTGAGAGCTGTGCGGTTGGTATTCGGCTTCAGAGAGCATGTCGTGGCCAGGTAGTCCGTCTTCAGTTAGACAACCAGGCGGCCATGTCGTACATCCTGAAGCAGGGAGGCACGGTGTCCCCAGCGCCTCTCGGGAAGCGTGGGACTTTCTCCTCTGGAGCGACCAGTCACGATTGTCAGGTACTCCCTGTTTATCTCCGGGGCTGGAGAGCGTCGCGAGCAGATGCGCTCTCGCCGGATCCTGGCCGCGACGCAGTGGATGCTCGACAGGCAGATATTCACAGTAATCTCCCAGTTGTAATGGTGGATTCGAGGTGGATCTGTTTGCGTCCGGCGGGACGCATCAGACACCCGTGTTCTGCTCTCGGATACCGGACCAGAGGGCGTTGGCTGCCGGCCTTCCTGTTAGATTGGACGGGCAAAGTGCTCTCATGCGTTCCCGCCGTTACCACTCATTCCCCGTGTCCTTTCACAGCTGTCCACCCAGCCAGCTCGGCTACTTGTGCTACTGGCACCGCTTTGGCGTCCACAGAGCTGGTTTCGGTAATTCTCAGGTTTCTGGCTCAGCCTCCTGTTCTATTACCTTTGCGACCGGACATTCTCACTCAGAGCGGGCGCCCACCCAAATCCACGGATTCAGTGGGTGGCTTGGCCTCTGTCAGGTCTAACCTCGAGGCACGCTGGAATTCCTGCAGCAGTTGCAGACACAATTCTGGCGAGGTGGGATTCGACAAGCGTTCAGTATGAGGATAGGTGGTCCCGCTTATGCGCTGGTGTGCAGATAGGGGCATTGCAGATCCCTTTTCTGCGGATTTAGTCCAGTATTGGAGTTTTTGCAAGCTCGTTTGGAAGAAGGCCTGGCGGCCCGACCATTCGTGGCTACTCCACCGCTATTTCCACTTTTCACACCCCTGTCGATGGTGCTCTTCTGGGGCAGCACCTCTCGCATAGCGCTTTCTAGCTGGCGCTGGCGGATTCGACCTGCTCTCAGGCGAACCAGTCCACCTTGGGATTTGTCGATCGTGCTCGATTGGCTGTCCGTCCCACTTTCTCACACCTATCGGCTATTTCCATTCAGTTGTTGACCTGGAAAGCTGTGTTTCTGGTGGCGGTAACATCTGGTCGAAGAGTCGGCGATATACATGCTATGTCGTCCGACGGGCGCTGACTGTGTTTTCACACGGATCGTGTCAGCATTAAGCCTCCCAGATACTTTACCGACCGAAGGTCGATCACGCTTCCATGTGACAGCTCCTATCGAACTTCCTACTCTTACCCAGCCTTCCACATCGGGGACCACTCCTACTGAGCACTCACCCGTTGGATGTCCGTGAAGACGCTCAAAGTCTATATCAAACGAACGCAGGGGATCCAGACGGGTACCCAGCTGTTCTGTTGTTACGGTGGCGGGAAGGCTGGTCTGCCAGCGAGCAAGCAAACTTTGTCTCGCTGGCTGAGTATCGTCGGTATTTGTGCGCTTATCAGGCTAAGGGCAAGCCTCCCCCTGAGGGGTTGAAGGCTCACTCGGTCAGGGCAGTAGCCGCATCAAAAGCTTTTGCATCGGCACTCCCCATTGAAGAGATCTGCTCTGCCGCTATTTGGAGCCGGCCAAGCACTTTTATACGCCATTATCAGCTCGATACACATTCACGCAATCGTGCGAGCTTTGGTCGTACCGTTCTCTCCAGTGGACAGTGTCCTGCCACCCTGACCAAGTGAGTCTTGGTTTATTGGTTTGTGTTGACGCTACTGTACAATGATTCCATTATTGACATGTCTGCTACGAGCACTCAGAGAACCTGTACCCCCTTTCGATTCTCTAAGGAGTTACGATATCGTTAGTGAGTGGTATTTTTGTTTTCCCCTCACGGTGCTCTCCACGAAGAAGCCACTTAGTGGGTCGGATTTCACTGACATTCGCGACTACGTGCAATGTCTCATTATGCTAGAGGTCGTCTTTGAGCACAAATCCTCCCTGTCAGTTCCTCCCATAATGCCTCTCGCAGCGAAACTGGGTCGTCAGTGACAGGTGAGTGTTATGGCGTCTGTTCAATTTTTTCCATGATAATGATCGCTATATTTTGTGTGTGCTTGGACAGAATTCCCTCCTCCCTGGCCTCCGGTCTTTGGGAGTCTGTGTTTATGCATAATATGTACCCCAAGGGCGATCTCTCTGAAAAGAATTTTCCAAACCTGCAGAGGTTTTCAATTCTTTGAAGAGAGATCCTTGGGTAGTGGGCCCACCCACCTCCCCGCAATTCTGTTCACTGATGAGAATTCAGCAGAAGGAATGATGATACGGGTCTAGGAGCCTACTCCAGTTGGTGCGCATGCGCTAAGGGAGGTAACTCCGTGAGGTAGGGTCCGTATAATAAATAAAAGAGTTTATTTATTGTACAATCTTTTTATTCAAAAAACATTGATACAACTGTCACAGGGCATTTTACAGCCGGAAAATGCATAATATGTACCCCAAGGACGACTCTCTTCAAAGAATTGAAAACCTCTGCAGGTTTGGAAAAGTTTCCATTGGGTGGTGGCTCTGGAGCATCTTTAGGACTGCTGCATTATTGTGTGTAGAAGGTCGGGATTATCATTAACACTACCGGACAATGTCTCATGCCTCATTTCTCTCATAGCTGCAGTGTTGCTGGAATAGTGTCCAGAGATACCAACTAGTCTGGTTAGGGAGGATTCATCACAAGATTTTGAACCAAAGTCAGCCTATTGAATATATTAACTGAAATGTATTACTTCAGCCAAGAAACATAGCCAGTTTGTTAGCAAGTTCATTGTCTTTGTCCCACATTTGGTGATTAAATACACTACAGTAGATTCGTTTTTATCAAGCCACACAGTTTGTTATGCTAATACTGATTACTTATTTGTACTAATTTTGTTCCTGAAATGTCAGTGTTCCAATGTGTCAGGCACAGTTGTCCCTGAATTCCAAACTGCGTCTGTTTGAGGTTGACACCTCTGGGTTTGGCTTCCAGCTTGACCAGTACAAACTTGAACCCTTGCTGGACTCTGTGAGCATCTTCTGATGATGTGTTGTTGCAGGTGAAGCTGGAGGAGGATCTGTACTGCCTGAAGGGGAAGGTGCAGTCTCTGCAGGTCGACCTGGACAACAGTGAAGCAGTGCAGAGAGACTTCGTCAAACTCTCACAGTCTCTGCAGGTGAGTGTCCTCCATTCATCATCCGTTACAAGTCACACAACAGACATATGTTCCCAGGTGCCAGGCTGACTTGTCACGTGTCAAGTCAAGGTTTCTTCACACATGCTGATCCAGTTATCAAGCAGATTCTGTGAACTGGCTGAACTATCATTGATACATAATTGATATATAGTTGGTACATTGTTACACTGGTACATAGTTGTATTTAGGATGCAATATTTAGGTAGGTAACAATAGCACTAAATGTTCAAAAACAATTACCAGAATCATTGGATTCTGTTTAACGAAATATTAATGACATTTTCTTTTTGTTATTGATATAAAGGGTTAGCTACCTCTGTTTATGAGACAAGTCAGACAGCTGGTCAACTCACTTACAGCATATTTGATGTGATCATCTTCTGTGCACCATAGAACATGTCTCTGTTCACTACAGCTCTGACCACACGTCAGCTGCAGTGCGTTTCTTCCCTCATCAGTTCTAGTACATATGTCCTCAGATTCAGCTGGAGAAGATTCGGCAGGCGGAGAATGAAGTGAGGTGGCAGCATGAAGAAGATGTGGAAGATTGCAATAACTGTAAACAGAATTTCAGTGTCACTCGCAGGAAGGTAAACACATTTTTGTTTTGAGGCTTGGAAAGAAACTTGTTAAGAGGCAGCATATTATCAAAAGAGGCTTTTGTGATGAAATATATACCCTTTATCTTATGCATAAACCTTGAGGTCATTGATAAGCATTATGAAGTTAGTAATTTATACAGATATAACTTTGACTGCCATGACTTCTGGCTTTCCTCTTGTATTTAGCTATATTATATTACTGAAATATTGTTCATAGCACTACACCGCCTCTCAATCTCACTCACTTGCCCACCCACTCAACTTCCTGCCCACTCACTCAACCTCCAACCCACTCAACCTCTCTCTCACACTCTCACCTCTCATCCACTTGCCCACCCACTCAACCTCCCACCCACTCAACCTCTCTCTCACACTCTCACCCTTTCATCCACTTGCCCACCCACACACTCTCTCACACACACTCTCCTCTCACACACACTCTCATCCACTTACCCACCTACTAACTCTCTCACTCTCCCATCCACTTGCCCACCCACTCAACCTCCCACCCACTTACTCTCTCACACACACTCTCATCCACTTACCCACCCACTAACTCTCTCACTCTCTCATCCACTTGCCCACCCACTTACTCTCTCACACACACTCTCATCCACTTACCCACCCACTAACTCTCTCACTCTCTCATCCACTTGCCCACTCACTCAACCTCCCACCCACTCACTCTCTCACACACACTCTCATCCACTTGCCCACCCACTCAACTTCCCACCCACTCACTCTCTCACACACTCTCTCATCCACTTACCCACCCACTAACTCTCTCTCTCTCATCCGCTTGCCAACTCACTCAACTACCCACCCACTCACTCTCTCACACACACTCTCATCCACTTGCCCACCCACTCAACCTCCCACCCACTCAACCTCTCATCCACTTACCCACCCACTCAACCTCCAACCCTCTCATCCACTTGCCCACCCACTCAACCTCCCACCCACTCACTCTCTCACTCACCCTCTTATCCACTTGCCCACTCACTCAACCTCCCACCCACTCACTCTCTCACTCATCCTCTTATCCACTTGCCCACCCACTCAACCTCCCACCCACTCACTCTCTCTCACTCACCCTCTTATCCAATTGCCTACCCACTCAACCTCCAACCCACTCAACCTCTCATCCACTTACCCACCCACTCAACCTCCAACCCTCTCATCCACTTGCCCACCCACTCAACCTCCAACCCACTCACTCCATCACTCACCCTCTTATCCACTTGCCCACCCACTCAACCTCCCACCCACTCACTCTCTCACTCACCCTCTTATCCACTTGCCCACCCACTCAACCTCCAACCAACTCACTCTCTCTTACTCACCCTCTTATCCACTTGCCCACCCACTCAACCTCCCACCCACTCACTCACCCTGTTATCCAATAGCCCATTCACTCAGCTATCCACTCACTCCGGTTCCTATGTCTTCTGTTACAGCATCACTGCCGCCACTGTGGAAAGATATTCTGTAATGAGTGCACATCCAAGACAGTGCACAGCGGGCCCAACTTTAAACCTTCCAAAGTTTGTGATGTCTGTCATACAATACTTGTGAAAGATGCCACACCCTACTTCAGCACAGAACCTCCAGCAACACCCGACTAGGGAGATGTTTTAGACTGTCCTACTTGTGGGGAAAACCATTGCTCTACCAGAGTCAAAACTCTACTGTTACATTGTCTTGCAGGGTCACTGGTGGCCCAGTCATCCAGGGCACCACAGTTGGCCATGCAGAGTTGCCTCCCATAGCTGTACCAGAATCTGATGATAGTGGGTTTGAATGCCAGATTTCCACACATTTGGATTCTTGTCAGCACTATGGTTATGCTTTTGGTTTCTCATCTTGGTGAATTTCTAGGGTTTGAATCACTAGACCTTCCTCCTACACGAGGTTGTTACTCTGTGAAAACAAATTAAATGCTGTTCAAAGCACTGTTGTGCCAAACTCACACACTCACTCCTCCAGGATAGGATGCACTGGATAAAGTACATACACCATACTCCAAGATTCTAGCAGACTTTAGTGTCAGGGGCATTTGTCTTGGGGAGGTAGGGGGCATTAACGGAAGCAGTCTCCACTCTGTAATCGACATGTGAATATTATGATGTTCTCACTGTTTGTGCAAGTGGTTATCACACTGATTTTTTAATACATTTGGGGGTAGTATAATAGACCCATAATAGACCATCATGTGGTATGTCTGAAGAATGGGGTCCTTAGTCAGCAAATAAAGCCCTCAAATAAAGAAACCTACAAGTTCAGTGTCGGTCAAATGTGTGTTTAGCAAACCTGGCCCTATTTAGACCTGGGTCTGCACCAAGCATCAGACTAATTGCCTCCTACTGACAGTGTGGGTTGTGTTTACAAACAGGCAGAATAGGTAAATTACGTGAAGTGTTATCAATGGTCAACTTTCTGACCTAGATACTAGGATCTTAAACGACAAAGAACTTTCTCAGAATTTGCATGTCAAGACAGTTATGATAAACAGTTATGCCAACTCTAGCAAACGGGTCCCAGTATCTCTTTTGTCATGTGTTAGACAAAGTGGTGATCAGGTTATTTGTCAGGTGACATCAAGCACTTACTTGACTGCTCATGCTATCAATCACTGGTTTGTCTAGTCGTGCTTGATGACAAATGCCATAGTGATACAGCTGTAACACTGCCCACTTTACATGAATCAACACTGACACCTACAGTAATGGCTCTCAGCTTGGGCCAGGCTCACACCACACTCTCTGTACTGGTCAACATGTAACACTGACCCTGATAAGACCTTGTACTCTCCACTACCTGTGATCTGTTACCTGTGTATATTTGTGTAAATATCCCTGCTCCTGTACATGCTCTGTCGATGTTCAGCTGTTGTGATTCAGAAGCACACTTGCCGTTTAGTCAATGTAACCATCACGTCCTTGTCAGTACAACATTGTATACATTGTATTCCTCCGTGACCCATGAACAACAAACCACTGCCTTCTTCCTGCGAGAAGGAAGCCTACAAGTACCCCCGGTACTCTTCAGTATCAAGCAATGGCAGGATTCAAACCAACTTCCATGACTCATTCGACTGGTACATTACATAAAGCCTCAGATCATTGTCTGACTTCAAGCTGACATGCATCACTTTGATGTCAACATTTAATGTCTGTTTGATTGTGATGAAGGAATACAGTGTATATCAAGCTGTATTGACCATGAAGATAGGACAGACACTTCTTAGATATATAGTACATAATGGCACCAAGCATCTACACTACAAACATGTCAGCTATCATTTGTATTTCTAGTTATAAAGGTTGTTTGATCACATTTTGAGAACAGTGACAGATATATCTGAGTGAAGACAGTAGACCGTAGAGGAGACTTGTAACATAAGATTTCTAGAGTTGTAGAGGACAGTCATTCATTGTAGTTTAGGGGTTATCATTTCTTGATTTATGGATTGGTTTCTGATGTAAAATAAGAAGTTGTTTCCAAGCGAGTTCCCTTACTATCCCAACTTTACAAAATGTTGTTATCGGAATACATTTGGAAAATGTCTATTGTTGATAGTTCCACTATATTCCATGGTAGTCAGCAAATCCATGAATCAAGCAATTATAAAACCCACCATTCTAACATTTGTTCAAATTGATTTTGTTTATTTTGATGGTTTGGTGCTTAATATAAGATGTAAGTGTTGTGTACTATCTTGTCAGTGGCTAATAACATTGTGCTCTGTATACATTTGGTGATATTCTGGAATATTGTATCAGAGTTGAGTAGATTAGACAGCACATGCACATCAACACAGTGGTATCTTGGCCCAGAAGGGATGCTACAGGACGTGTTTGAAGATACGTGCTCCTGAGAACTGAAGGTTCATGTGAGCTTCTGGCTGTATGCTTGTCCTCTGTCCATCATCTGTCATAAGTGCAAACTTTCTAACATCTATGAAGAATCCTGATTGGATCCAGTAATGATTAGCAAACATATGATCCAAGAAATGGCATGCTCTATTCATAAGCTTCATGTGAATCATGGTCGATATGGCAGCCATATTGAATATGCTATATTCTGATTTACTTTGATCACTGATGTTTTGATTGATTATCCATTCATTGAAGTTTGATTTTTATTCCTTTTAAATGTGTCCATAATAATAGAGAGAATTTCCACAATTTGTTACGTAACTTGTCTTAGATTTTATTTTTATATATTTTAGAGTGATCAGGGGTTTGATCATGTCTTCAACTACAGAGGTGAGCTACGGACCCTAGTTACTGTTGTCAGTTCTGCGATGTATGTACAAGTTGCTGAGCTTAACATGTAATGGTATCAATGTAGAATGATAATCTCAGTGAGATGGTTTAGGATTTACAGAGTTGTCTGCCCTAGTCATACCAGGATCTACTGAAGATGGGTTTAAATCCCAGTTTTTATCTTGAATATGAGCCATAAAATATGAAATAAATTACAGACTGCGTAACATTGAAGATTTAACATTTGGCTGGTTGTCCAGTCTAAGCTGAGACTCTGCAGTACAGTCCACTCTGTGTCACTGAAATGGGACACTTTTCACTAAACTACTGCTTAAAGCGATTATAGGTCACTCAGTTGATTATTGATATTTAATTTATGGCCACGGTTGATCACTGGTTATAACTATTTGTTCTTATTGTTCTTATTGCAGGAATATCTAGACTACTTTTGTAAATCAAGGCTTCTTTTGGCAGTTTATTGTGTCCCTTAAATGCAGTAATTTCAGCAGTTAGTTTATCACTGTGTACTGTGGGTAGATGAATCAGTGTAATCAGTATAATATAATGTCTTGTTTCTATGGTAACAATAGTGTTGATGTGTGGTTTATAGTTTCTCATCAGATTAGTTAGTTTCATTTCTTTCTTTTCATATTTAACAGATTTAACACCTAAAAATATTATCAAGGTTGATTTGGAATAAATAGCCGGAACAGAAACTCATGTAATCATGAAATTTAAAAAAACCCAACATTTTCAGTCAAAAAGGTGTTCTGTGTTAGTCACATTAGGGATCAGTTATCTTTTAGACTCATTTACAAAAATATAGAAATGTTTGCAAGGAGTGTCAGGACAAAACAAACAAGCAAATTGGAAGACAAGCATTAGGATAAGGAAATATTTTTCATGACCTTCCCCCAAATATGATATTTCATTACCCAACACAAAGGCCTACTATAGGTTTTTTATGGCTCTCCCTTGATTGCATCTGACTACCCCATTTAATAAGTGACAGTTATCTAAGAAGACTGTTTCATCTGCATCAAACATGGTGGCCAATCTGATTGTACTAACTGAGGTACCAGTGTGCTTACTGGTACACAGACCATCAAACATGGTGGCCAATCTAATTGTACTGACTGAGGTACCAGTGTGCTTACTGGTACACAGACCATCAAACATGGTGGCCAATCTGATTGTACTGACTGAGGTACCAGTGTGCTTACTGGTACACAGACCATCAAACATGGTGGCCAATATGATTGTACTGACTGAGGTACCAGTGTGCTTACTTGTACACAGACCATCAAACATGGTGGCCAATCTGATTGTACTGACTCAGTGTGCTTACTTGTACACAGACCATCAAACATGGTGGCCAATCTAATTGTACTGACTGAGGTACCAGTGTGCTTACTTGTACACAGACCATCAAACATGGTGGCCAATCTGATTGTACTGACTGAGGTACCAGTGTGCTTACTGGTACACAGACCATCAAACATGGTGGCCAATATGATTGTACTGACTGAGGTACCAGTGTGCTTACTTGTACACAGACCATCAAACATGGTGGCCAATCAAACATTCTACTGACTGAGGTACCAGTGTGCTTACTTGTTTGACCATCAAACATGGTGGCCAATCTGATTGTACTGACTGAGGTACCAGTGTGCTTACTGGTACACAGACCATCAAACATTCTAATAGGTACTGGTATATTTGTTTTGGTTTCAGAATTATTCTTTCCATAACTTTTCTGATCATTTGTGGCAGAGCTGTAGTGTGGCGAAGTTAAGATAGGTTTTATGAAAACAGGAATCTGTTTTACGTGTATATCTTGGGTTTGTGTGTGTTTTTGGTTCTGTTTTGACCAACTACTTAATGATGCTGTGAATGTCTGCAAGCGAGTCGGCAACGAATGAGGGCTGTGTCTGAGTAGCTTCAGTATTATTTATTTCTGTACATACATAGATAGATTTTAACCTTCTCATGGATATATACAAGAATATGCTCCATTTGTACAATACTTTGGACAGAATTTAATATATATGGGAAATACATATGTGAATGTCTTGTTAACTGGACAGGTGAAAATCTTCACACCTGGACATGTGAATGTCTTCACACCTGGGCCTGTGAATGTCTTCACACCTGGACATGTGGATGTCTTCACACCTGGGCCTGTGAATGTTGTGACACCTGGAAATGTGAATGTCTTAATTGCTGGACATGTGAATGTCTTCACACCTGGACATGTGAATGTCTTCACACCTGGGCCTGTGAATGTCTTCACACCTGGACATGTGAATGTCTTCACACCTGGACAGGTGAATGTCTTCACACCTGGACAGGTGGATGTCTTCACACCTGGGCATGTCAATATCTTAACACCTATTAATGGTGTATTGTATTGTTGATGCATATTGCTTTTAGTCAGTTAATGTTCCATCATTCATTATTTCAACGATTTAAGTTACAATTTGTTATCCTGAACAATTTACCTGCTTCGTTTTGTCATGTTTAGTTCTTGGGTATTGTACTCTACTGAAGTACTCTGCTGTAGAATCTTTTTCATCGACATGCCAGCATGCATTTCATTAACTGTAACCATAGTAACATGCATTCTAAATGCAACATTATTTCTTATCAAGTTATATATCTTAAGGAAAAGAGCACAACCAAGATTTGCAGGTGAACATATTTGAAATGTGTTTATTGCTGCAGTTTGAATTCTACACCTAGAATGAGTTCCTGTCCAGGCTCCAGTTCACAAAACTATCATAGTGCTATGACTGTCGTAAGTCTATGTTACAGTATAGGAGATTTGACAGTTGTATCACTACGATAGCTTTGTGAAACGGGGACCTGGTTCCTTCTGGAACCTGGGTACTCCCAACAGGGTTAGGACAGGTTCACTTTCATGCTTCACTGTCGAGATCTGTACTCCCAACAGGGTTAGGACAGGTTCACTTTCATGCTTCACTGTCTAGATCTGTACTCCAAACAGGGTTAGGACAGGTTCACTTTCATGCTTCACTGTCTAGATCTGTACTCCCAACAGGGTTAGGACAGGTTCACTGACTTGCTTCACTGTCTAGATCTGTACTCCCAACAGGGTTAGGACAGGTTCACTGACATGCTTCACTGTCTAGATCTGTACTCCCAACAGGGTTAGGACAGGTTCACCTTCATGCTTCACTGTCTAGATCTGTACTCCCAACAGGGTTAGGACACGTTCACTGTCATGCTTCACTGTCTAGATCTGTACTCCCAACAGGGTTAGGACAGGTTCACTTTCATGCTTCACTGTCTAGATCTGTACTCCCAACAGGGTTAGGACAGGTTCACTGTCATGCTTCACTGTCTAGATCTGTACTCCCAACAGGGTTAGGACAGGTTCACTGTCATGCTTCACTGTCTAGATCTGTACTCCCAACAGGGTTAGGACAGGTTCACTGTCATGCTTCACTGTCTAGATCTGTACTCCCAACAGGGTTAGGACAGGTTCACCTTCATGCTTCACTGTCTAGATCTGTACTCCCAACAGGGTTAGGACAGGTTCACCTTCATGCTTCCCTGTCTAGATCTGTACTCCCAACAGGGTTAGGACAGGTTCACTGTCATGCTTCACTGTCTAGATCTGTACTCCCAACAGGGTTAGGACAGGTTCACTGACATGCTTCACTGTCTAGATCTGTACTCCCAACAGGGTTAGGACAGGTTCACCTTCATGCTTCACTGTCTAGATCTGTACTCCCAACAGGGTTAGGACAGGTTCACCATCATGCTTCACTGTCTAGATCTGTACTCCCAACAGGGTTAGGACAGGTTCACCTTCATGCTTCCCTGTCTAGATCTGTACTCCCAACAGGGTTAGGACAGGTTCACCATCATGCTTCACTGTCTAGATCTGTACTCCCAACAGGGTTAGGACACGTTCACTGACATGCTTCACTGTCTAGATCTGTACTCCCAACAGGGTTAGAACAGGTTCACTGACATGCTTCCCTGTCTAGATCTGTACTCCCAACAGGGTTAGGACACGTTCACCTTCATGCTTCCCTGTCTAGATCCGTACTCCCAACAGGGTTAGGACAGGTTCACTGTCATGCTTCACTGTCTAGATTTGTACCACATACGCCTTTCCCTGCACAGACATGTTCTATTGGGGATAATACTGATATCAGTATTCTCTGTTAACTCCAAACCGCATATGTCAAGAATTATTAAACAAACAAGCACTTTGTGACTTTGTGAAGAGTTTCAGTTTTTAACCACAGAGTTGCATTCCGAAATAATTTGTACGGAAGCAAGTATAGTTTCTGTGTTTAGACCAGCACTGCAACAAAAGATGAGCTCCAATATATTGTCACTTATTTCCCTATGCATCCTGTTACTTCCTCATCGGTCATGTTTATTCATGTATATGGGGATCAGCTGCTATAGTTGGCAAACTAAATCACATTTTCTGTTCAGAGTTGAAAGGGGTGTACTTAATGCATCTGAAAGGACAGATTTGGATAACGAGGTAAATATTTTATGCATGTCAGTAGAAGGGAGCTAGTGTGCCGGCGAGCGGGCGTACGTGTTTTTATTTAGCTCTCTCTGAGACGTGTTGGCACTTTCAGCACTGTATTCCTGTCATTGGTTTCCATGGCAATCCTTGGTTTGCCAGCACCATGACCAGGTGCTGAACATCTCTGGTTTGCATCACTTGGACCTTCTGCTGACATTAAACCTACAGTGATATTACAGTTCACTTTCTGTCAAACCGGTCTTCTCAATATAGGGTGTGATTCAAATGCAGCAATAAAACAAGAAAATGTTAAAACCTTTACATTTCGGCCAAATTTTCATATTGATGGAACTCCAATCAATTTTACTACCTTCTCTGCTTAAATAGGATTTGATCATTACTCCCTGGTGCAACTGGAACTTTAACCCATACTGACAAAGTTAACCTCTGTAAGGATCGCTTCAAGCTCAAGCTGGCCTGCTGAACAGCCAGGGATGTGTTTAACATGGGCCTCAACTTCAGGACTAATCTTATAAGAACATGGCCTCATGTTTTGTGAGGCTCATCACAAAAACATTGTTTGCATATAGCAGTACTAGTAAATATATTATGTGTTGTCAAAATATATTCCTGTCAGTATTTATCCTTACAGAATTGAATACACTGGAAAATCCTGTATCTGTTTGAAGTGACTGAATATTGTGACATGTTGAACACATCCCTGGTTGTCATATGGTCAGGGATCCCTTACTGGCAGTCATGTTATCACAAGCTTAGATTTCTGCATTTATTCGTAATTTTTTTCTTCATGGACAGTTGTTATTTTAGCCACATTGCTTTCTGAAGTCTTTCAATCCAACATGCAATGTTGATTTTATGAACTTGTTGACAGTGCAGTGACCATGATAGTTCACTTCACTAGCTGTCCCTATCTCCCCTGTGTAGAGGAATAGCGACCTCGTCCTGTACAGGTAGTCTCACGATTCTGTCAACAAATAGCAGTTGTTGAGACAGTAGTATTTTGCGTAGCTCTATGTTCTGCAACATGTTCTTGACACTGTTAGTGTGACCATCAACCTGTGTTTGAATATCACATCATGGTCTGTGAATAAAACTATTACAATCTCGATGTGTTTGTCAGCTTCTTTATGTGGGATCAGCTCAAAAACAATTTGAGCGGCCAACACACTCAAACACTGGAATTGGGGTGTAGATCTTATCTTTTGCTATCCTTCCGAGACCCCAGTATCTGTTTGACGATTATTATTTACCAATTTCTGACTTTGATACGAGTTTTCTGATTGTTTCAAACCTGAACCAAGAGGTATTTCCACACAGTTTTCGGTTTCAATGAGAGTCAAGAAAACTTCATTGCCAGGTGACACCATGGCAGCACACATTTTGTTTGTTAAAGTCATAAAATAATTTTCCCCGAAATTTAAATCAACACAAACATGTTGAAAACAGTATGAACAGTGTTGGTTACCATTCATTGGCTGTTTCACATGTTTTTTTACTCACATGTGACAACCTCCCTTACTGATGTAAACCATTTTTGGTGTCCCCCACCCTGATATTGCTGGAATGTTGGAAAAAGTGGGGTAAAACTTACTCACACAACTTGTATAAAGATACCTCATATCACAGTTCGCTGACGATACAACGCTGATTCTAAATGGTAATGAAGCCTGCGTACTGAGTGCGCTTTTAACACACTAGATACGTACGCTGCTTTCTCAGACCTTAAAATAAACAGGAGTAAAACACAACTATGCTGGATAGGCTCACAACGCTCATCAGATGCAATATTATGTAAACAATGGAAATTAGACTGGGAAAAGAAAAGTTTCACCCTTATATGCCTCAACTTTACACACAACCTGGCGGAAATGGTCGAAAAAAATTATAAGGACAAACTAAAAGGCATAAATAAAGTCGATTATGAATTTATGGTTACAACGTGATCTAACTCTATTAGGAAGAATTACCTTATTAAAAGCTTAATCTTACTAAAACTCAACCATCTATTCGCGTCGCTTCCAGATCCTAACGATAAACTAACCAAAGAAATCGAATCACTCTGCTTCAGTTTTATATGGAAAAACAAACCCGATAAAAACAGTAGAAAAATAATTTCAAAACCATATGATGAAGGCGGACTACGAGCTCCAAACATAACCCAGATAATATCTTCTCAAAACATATCATGGATTAGGCGACTATTGAACTCAAGACCCAATTCAAAACCCTTGATTTATTTCTTTTCAATACCACGCGACCACCTCATAAATAACGAAGATAACCTCACATGTGAACTAACAAATCGCAGAACAAATCCCTTCTGGAGGGATGTCCTGAAATGCTGGGAGTTATACCTAAACTTAAAAGGTGATAATGCCAAAAAAGAACATGACATCCTTTCCCAAATCTTATGGCACAATAAGAACATTAGAATAGGAGGAAGCACCTTCTTCTATAAACACTTCTCTGACAAAGGTATCCACTATATTAATGACTTAATTGATAACGACGGAAACTATCTCAACCTTTCTTCCCTTCAGAAGAAATATCAGATAAAAACAAACTTCCTTGAATATCATGGCATAATCAAATCCGTTGAGTCTTATGTTAAAAGTAAACGCGTTAAACTCAAATCAAAACTTCAGACACCAATTCTGCCATTTATATCAAAGATGTATGTGAAACAAAAAAAGGCTGCAGAATATTCTATGATGCATTAAACACAAACATGTTCGACATTTAGACCAGAAAACACATTCGGTAATGGGAGAACAATCTCAGATGTTCCCTGACAGAACAAGAATGGAAAACCATACATTATATACCCTTCCGCACACATGCAAACAGCAAACTACGATGGTTTCAACACAGCATCATTTACAGAATAATATCCACGAACGACCTTCTATATAAAATGAAATATACGAATAATAACAAATGTGACTTATGCAAAACTGACATTGAATCAATAACACACCTCTTTTACGAATGTACAAAAGTTAGCCATATCTGGAGAGAACTAGAAGATTGGATCGAGGAGAAAACAGGAATTAAACTAGATTTTACCAAACAACATATCCTGTTTGGCTACTATGAAAAGCGAAATGATGTAAATCTGATCATAAATACAACTAAATTCAACATTTATAAAAGCAAACTTTCTAAACGACCACCACATTTCCAATATATCAAAAGAGATATAACCAATGCATATCAAATAGACAGATATATCTCATCCTTAACTTGTGATTACACCAAATTCACGAAGTACTGGTCAATATGTCATTGCCTATTTACCTGAACAATACATCTCCTGTAAAAGCCATAACCATCAGCTACTGAATTGTCATACCCATTTTGATAAGATACTATGTGTATTGAACTATGAACTATCCATTTGCTGTAAAACATGTACTGGTGAAAAGAAATAAAATTTAAAAAATGAAGAAAAAAAAAGATAATGTCTTTCTTCTCTAAATGAGTGCAGTGGCCTATTCAGGCCAGAGGGGCGGTTGGGTAGCCTAGTGGTTAAAGCATTAGCTCATCACACCGACAGCCCGGGTTCGATTCACCACATGGGTACAATGTGTGAAGCCATTTCTGGTGTCCCCTGTTGTGATATTGCTGGAATATTGCTAAAAGCGGCATAAAACTAAACTCACTCAGTATTCAGAATATTTCAGGGTTTGGATAAGAATAAACATCAACACTGAACCACAGATGAGGAATTAAAAGAATCAGTGGACCAAATGTGACATGGTATAGCCCTTACGGTTATAGTCAAAATGGACACACATCCAAACAGGCTTGAAATTCCCAGTCAAAATGGCCAGGTGCAAATGTCAAATGGCTACAAAGCAATGTGTCATGTGACTGGTCTGACCAAGGTTTGTGAACCATGGGTGATACCATCAACACATTCTGTTGGGAAAATATCACCAGGATCTGTTGGGTGAGTACCTTAACACCAGCATATATTGTAGTATAACACCACCATATATTGGAGTATAACACCACCATCTATTGGAGTATAACTCCAGCAGCATCTATTGGAGTATAACACCACCATATATTGGAGTATAACACTACCATCTGTTGGAGTATAACACCACCATCTATTGGAGTATAACACCACCATCTATTGGAGTATAACACCACCATATATTGGAGTATAACACCACCATCTATTGGAGTATAACACCACCATCTATTGGAGTATAACGCTACCATCTATTGGAGTATAACACCAGCAACTATTGGAGTATAACATCACCACCTATTGGAGTATAACACCACCATCAATTGGAGTATAACGCCACCATCTATTGGAGTATAACGCCACCATCTAATGGAGTATAACGCCACCATCTATTGGAGTATAACACCACCATCTAATGGAGTATAACACCAGCAACTATTGGAGTATAACGCCACCATCTATTGGAGTATAACACCACCATCTATTGGAGTATAACGCCACCATCTATTGGAGTATAACATCACCATCTAATGGAGTATAACATCAGCAACTATTGGAGTATAACACCACCATCTACTGGAGTATGACACCACCATCTAATGGAGTATAACACCAGCAACTATTGGAGTATAACACCAGCAGCATCTATTGGAGTATAACACCACCATATATTGGAGTATAACACCAGCAACTATTGGAGTATAACACCACCATCTATTGGAGTATAACACCACCATATATTGGAGTATAACACCAGCAACTATTGGAGTATAACACCACCATCTATTGGAGTATAACACCAGCAGCATCTATTGGAGTATAACACCACCATCTATATTGGAGTATAACACCACCATCTGTTGGAGTATAACACCACCATCTATTGGAGTATAACACCACCATATATTGGAGTATAACACCACCATCTATTGGAGTATAACGCCACCATATATTGGAGTATAACACCAGCAGCATCTATTGGAGTATAACACCACCATATATTGGAGTATAACACCACCATCTATTGGAGTATAACACCAGCAGCATCTATTGGAGTATAACACCACCATATATTGGAGTATAACACCAGCAACTATTGGAGTATAACACCACCATCTATTGGAGTATAACACCAGCAACTATTGGAGTATAACGCCACCATCTATTGGAGTATAACACCACCATCTATTGGAGTATAACGCCACCATCTATTGGAGTATAACACCAGCAACTATTGGAGTATAACACCACCATCTACTGGAGTATAACACCACCATCTATTGAGTATAACACCAGCAACTATTGGAGTATAACACCACCATCTATTGGAGTATAACACCACCATATATTGGAGTATAACACCACCATCTATTGGAGTATAACACCACCATCTATTGGAGTATAACACCACCATCTATTGGAGTATAACACCACCATCTATTGAATTATAACCACCACCATCTATTGAGAATTATAACGCCACCATCTATTGAATTATAACGCCACCATCTATTGGAGTATAACACCACCATCACCATCTATTGAGTATAACACCACCACCTATTGGAGTATAACGCCACCATCTATTGGATTATAACACCACCATATATTATTATAACACCACCATCTATTGGAGTATAACACCACCATCTATTGAATTATAACATATAACCATCCATCTATATTGAGTATAACACCACCATCTGTTGAAGTATAACACCACCATCTATTGATTATATAACACCACCATCTAATGGAGTATAACACCAGCAACTATTGGATTATAACACCAGCAGCATCTATTGAATTATAACACCACCATATATTGAATTATAACACCACCATCTATTGGAGTATAACACCACCATCTATTGAAGTATAGCACCACTATTGGGTATAACACCACCATCTATTGGAGTATAACGCCACCATCTATTGAATTATAACACCAGCCATATAACACCACCATCTATTGAAGTATAACACCAGCAGCATCTATTGAATTATAACACCACTATTGAAGTATAACACCACCATCTATTATAACACCACCATCTATTGGAATATACACCAGCATCTATTGGAGCAACTATTGGAGTATAACACCACCATCTATTGGAGTATAAC